TCAGTGTTAGATAGCCCATTTATCGAGGAAGGCTATAGGCTATATATCATCACGCTAAGACCAATAGGAGCGGAGCACCAATGAAGAATGTTTCGAAAACGGAGAAAATTTATTACTATTGAGAGACGCAGACGAAGTTGCGCGGGTCAGCTAAGAGTCAAAAGAGTCAACCTGTACACTACTGTACTGTTGTATGTAACTATTACAAAGTTCTTTGCGTGAGGGTTATTTGACGCGTGTTAGAATCTTGTCACATTACGGGATCACGCTGTCCTTCGTGATTGCTCCAGTGACGTCATACGAATAATTTTTAGAGCGCTACCTTGATTTTAAGTTTTGTCTTTAATTTTAAAACTATAAGTTTTACTTTTATATCGATATTGAATTGGAAAAGATTAAATTAAAACTGTCCGTCCGTTGTCCTGTTGTCCGTGTGGTGACGGATTAAGAATACAAATTGTCACCACCCCAATTCATCCCGTGGGTGTCGTAAGAGCCGACTAAGGGAGCAAACTAAGCAGGACAACAGCACTGCAAAGAGAAGGAAAACTTGAAACAAACCCTATACCAACCCGTCTGGCCAGCGTGGTATAGTAGGCCAAAACCTCCTTTCTAAGGAGAGGCCTATGTCCAGCAGTGGACTAGTATAGGCTGTTGATGAAATTAAAACTATCCGTGTGGTGACGGATTAAGATTGCAGAGTTTCACCACCCCTATTCATCCGTTGTCGTAAGGAAAGATAGCCTAAGTTACTCCTCAAATATACAGCTACCTAATATTATCAAAATCAGTCCAGCCATTTAAAAATTACCTGAACAAACAGACAGACAAAAAAAAACTGGTTTTTAGGAATAGATTTCTTGCTAATAACCGTGTGAGCATGAAAAAACACTATTATTTTGACATTACAAATAGACACTTCAATTTTATTTTTTTGAATAGATTTAGAAGAAACTTAAATTAGAATTATAAACCATCAGTGACAAATAAACTGAATGTAACAAGTACGTACATAATGGCAACGGTTTTGACCCAATTACATTTAAATACGATTTCCCAAGTTAATAAGCTTGTGAAACTTAGATTTATGGCCGTCCCATAGGACCCTAACGTGTTCAAGAACTTTATCACACGTGGAATACATACAACTTAAACAGTATTGTCATAATTATATAAGTTACAATTTATCGTTCATTTTTAGGGTTCCGTACCGAAAGGACCCTATTACTAATACTCCGCTGTCCGGCCGTCTGTCTTTCTGTCCGTCTGTCACCAGGCTGTGTCTCATGAACCGTAATAGTTAGACAGTTGAAAATTTCACAGATGATGTATTTCTGTTGCCGGTATAACAACAAATACTAAAAACAGAATAAAATTAATCTTTAAAGGGGCTCATACAACAAATATTGATGACGGCAACAGGTAGACGCTTGAAATATTCACATATTTAGTTATATATTCACTTTAAAAATAAATAATTAAATTAAAATAAAAGAAATATTTAAGGGGGGCTCCCATACAACAAACGTGATTTTTTTGGCGTTTTATAGATAATGGTACGGAACCGGAACCGAACCGGAGTCCGACTCGCACTTGAAGGGTTATTTTTTAATATTAAAAACTGTTTATGTAAACACTTAGCCTACAAAACAAAAATAGGTGATAACATAGCATATTTTGGTATATTATCAATTCATTTTATTACGGTATAGGCTTACAAATAGTGGGATTACTATCCTTCAAGCTAAGACAATCCTGTATCTTGCAGGACAGTGATCATTTAAAAGATTTTAATACTAAAAAATATGTCAACGTACCAAAAACTTGGGACGATTTTATTAACCATTGTCAAAAAACCTCTTTTGACGTATATGTGTCTGTCTGTGGCATCGTAGCTCCTTAACAAATGAACCGATTATGATGCGGTTTTTCGTAAGTTGACGTGATCGAGATGGTTCTTAGTTATAATTTGTGAAGATCATCAGTTCATTTCTTAATTGATGAAGGGATCTCAGTAATTTACACAGTACTCAGTAACTCCGATTGATTTGAAAGATGTATTGTTCCTTTAGTGGTTTAGTGGTACTTCTATGATACTTATATAGTAACCTTGACCTGATGATGCAGCCAAATTTGAAATTGCATTTGAAAGATTAGGTATTAAAATGAATCAAAGTTATATAATGTTTCCACTTTCAGCGGTGGGAAAAGCTTATACAGAGTTTCAAAAATGTAAAGGGATAAAAACGAAAAAAAAAATTCGGGCGCATCAGATATTTTGGGGATATTATGTTATTTGGACGCCGAAATGCTCTCATTGAAAGGTCTGACGGTCTGAGGCTCGTAGCGAATATATGAAAATACTAACTGAAAATTCGAAAAATCGCCATTACAAAATACCCGAGCGTGTTAGATTTTATAGAGATTAAGATATACAGTAAAATTTTTATATGCTCACCTACGTATTTAATTATATTAACGCCATCTATTATTTTAATACGGAAACTGTGATAGAACTCATTCCACTTATATGCAATTCATAAGTCTAAAGTAAGACTACAATTATATAGCGATATAATTAAGAGATTAAAGAGGTTAACATTTGTTAGTTTAAATTTAATATATAGTAATTAGTTTATTATTATATTGGTAATGTGACCAAGTTTGAATATAACGTTCTAAACATTGACTTGGACCAACTTTCATTCAATTAGGGATGGAACAAAATGTGATAAAGCATAGGATTTAAAAATCATTTCATCACTCCTGTGACTGACTTACAAAACCACTACTACTTAATTATTATTATTGCGCTAGCGCAAGAATCGCAAAAGGTATAAATCTAAAAAAAGAAGGCGTAATCTTTGATAAAATGAATTTTGATAGATTTTAATGTCAATTCTTTGTCCGTGACGAAATCACTATCACATGTGAAATAGCTGTGACTAAAACCAATCATTTCATCAAATGAATATGATTTAAAAGCAGAAATAATTTCAATGTCTACATTCAATCATTCGATTCAGACAATCTGTTAAAGACCTTGAAGGAAACTAACCAGTGCAACCACACGGAGACAAAAATTTACCATAACGGCCAGAATTACAGAGCTACCAACTTAATTTATATTTTAAACATTGTCATCCTATTTTTACGTTCACTCCGTTCTTTGTCGCTAGTCGTATTTTTTTGACGTTAAATGCGATGCCAAAGTGCCAATAAAATTTTCATAAACTTTTATTGGCCAATAAAAGCCATTGTTACACTGAGCGGGGTACGTACTTGTACATAACTGATTATACTTCAGCCCTAAATGATATTAATAAAACCAGTGTAGTATTATTTAAAATAATATAAGGGTACAGTAAGTAAAAAATACTGATACATTCCTATTTACAGAACATTTTGTCTTTAAAAGCTTATTATACTAAACTGAACAAACTCTAATAAAAATATGGTCAAGCGGCGGATTATCCCTAAGGCAAAGTAGGCAAGTGCCTATTGGCGCTAGGTTACATTGGGGCGCACGCGCAGAATTTTTTAACGAAGAAAAAAAATGCCTAACATAATAAGAACTGTGTCTAAACACGCTTCTAGAATGCCCGGCGTTAGGTGAAACAGATTTGTGGCTTCGTGACGGTCATCGGAGTAAGGATTCTCTCGCTAGTTACCATGATTGCAGCCATTACGGGGAGCGCGTGGAACTTCACCACCTTCTTCTGAGAGCAAGTTATGCTCTAGAAGTGGGCGGGCGAGACCTGAAGAGGCTTAGAACTCTCCCGGTCTGCCAGGCCCGGGAACAGGCCAGGTACTGTTGGCGGCTTAGGCGCTTGAGGTCACTGAATGACCTCCGTCCTGCGTAAGCCTGGGGGTGACGGGTAAGGCCATCAGTCTCCAAAAAAAAAGTCCAGACGTCTAAACAAAAACTATTATCGGATCCCTCTTATTTCCGGCGCAGTTTACACACCGTGTGGTTTTAGTCTAATCGATTCCGATACACCGCCCCACCGCAAACCCTGGTGGGTGACACAGCCCATGGGGATTTTTCTAGGTTGTAGTAAAATGCCAACTGTTGGGACTTCGCACTATCACACATTTAGTAAATATGGTATGGGCGATAGAAAGATGCGGGGGGCGCCGATGAGATGTTTGCCTAGTGCGCGCGATCTATATTTTTTTATTTGTGACAAAAAATACCTATATTCACTTGCAAGCAATTTTCGTTAGTGACTGTACTGATCCCTCAGCTAGATAACTCTACATTTACAACAAATTGAGTTTTTATGAGGTACGTGTGTGAAAGCGGATTATTTACATGAAGATAGATCGATAAAAGCTTAGTGCTACAACTTATCAAAGAATTTTTATTGTTCTGATCCAAATATAATAACCAATTAGTAATTGACTAATGAACGTAAGTGCACTAAACGAGTACACTTAATTCATAAGGTGGCAATCCACAAATGCAAAATATTTAAATCAGAAATTGCATAGAGTGAATTTGTTTTTAATTTTTAACTAAAACCGTCATAAAAAACCTCTTTAGAATTTTGTAAAGTCCATATTCTTGCCATTGAAACATTGTAATCATATTTTTAAATTATAGTGATGAAGAATTGTCATCTTTGCGCAGAAACTATTAATTTCGTGCATATCCTTAATTTAATAATTTCATAAATTACTAATTTTTCTGTAAGCATTGTCTGCTTAAGCCCTGTATTCTGAAAATTAATTTTATATTTGTATACGCAACAAAAAAGCTTTAACAATAACATAAATTAGGGTATGAAACTAATTTAAATATTAATATTGTAGTGAGTCTTTCAGAGCAAGATAGCATCAGCCTTTTTTTGTGAACGCACCGAAAAACGGCTGCACTACATCATTTTTATAATGTTGGCAGTACCGACTTTTCAATTTCAAACGGCTTTCGATAGTGTAGTGTTTTATGGCGTTTGTCAAACTCATTAAAGTTTAAAAGTGGAGTTTTTAATACAATAATGTCAATTTTTAATGAGTTGCTACCAAAAATCAGTGAGATATCTAATGCAATTACAAAAAACTTCAATGATGACCTTAAGGTAAATGATTCCTTCGACTAAATCAGTGCCCGCTCCACTCGGTGTCTGTTTTCGTAATTTAAACGAACCATCAAAGTGTTTTAAGTTGTAAAACATAATTAAAGATGTGCTGAAGATGTTCTTTAGTGCCAACAAGTGTTTGGAAGATATACATTTATTGTTATTTACAGGCCGCGTTTGATTGTTTTGATAAATTCGAGGAGGAGTTTCAAAATGGACGAGGCAAGGCGCGGGAGAAAGGACAAAAAGATAAAAATCCTATGACGACCCTTCAAAGCATTAATGAGGACGATGGTAAGCCAAAATATGTTTAAGTTTGTTGTAAATATTGGTAGATACTAAACCATATACATCAACACTAACTATATTTTTATTAATCACGCATTTATTTTATGTCCTTACTAAACCTTTCTATCCTGATCAAATACTTACGTAATATAATTTTTGTACTACTTCACACAATAATAATATTATGTACTTTGACTTTCATGCTTATTAGATTTTAAATCTGAAATAATTGAAATATTCTTAATTAATAGCCAAATTGTAAAGAATAAGTCTTTCTAGCCATTATTATCAAAAGAATACAATTTCCAACCAGTACACACTATGTCCAGCAGTGGACTTTTAAAGGCTGTTGATGATTGACACTATATGGTATTTATAAGTAAAAAAAATATTATATTTATTTTTTTAATCAAAGACAAAATTATAGTTAAATTATTCAGAGACAACAATGAATGATCCACAAACAAAATTAATTATCCTACTTGGGAACAAGAAGCTTTCTTTTGACATCATAAAAACTGGTTTTGTGCAATCCAGGGTGTTATGTTTACATAGGCTGGTTTCTTTAATTACACATTAAAGCACCCAAATACCGTGTTGAAGCCCAGTGAAAATGGTGAGCCAGGTTACTTAGTCTGACATTCTGTCACCCCCTGACAGTCCCTCATTATATGAGTCCACTGTTGGACATAAGCCTCTCTCTTTAGAAAGGAGTTTTTTTGGCCCACTATACCACACTGGACAGTGTGACAATGGGACAGGTTGATGTAGGGTTTGTTTCAAGTTGTTTAATTCATACAATTTGATAAATAATTCTTCCAGATGAAGCAACAAAAGTATCCGATACAGACTCAACCAAAAGACAATCAAACAATAAATCAAGTGACAACACAAGCACATGCAGCTCAGCTGACAGCAACACGGACAAACCACGACGGGCATCTAAGAAACGCAGTAAGAATGAAGTGGACGGTATGTCCAGCCCAGAGCAGGATAAAAGACAGAAGAGAAACGCTTCTGTCAAAGCACAAGGCTTTATTAGTAAACAGGTAATATTCATTAAAAAAAATGTTCACAAATTGGGGAATAAAATTTTTTGACAAAAATGAGTAAAAATTAAAAAGAACTGGATTATATTTATGATAAAGTTAAATTGTTTTTACAATAATATCTGCAATTTCCAATGCCTTAGAAGCAAATATTAACTTAGAGTTTATTATTACTAATAACATACAGATTTGTGTCTTGTCAGAGTGAATTAAAATGTTGGCAAATCAAATAAATAAATGCAAATAGCTTTTTCTATAAACCACACTATAGTTTGAGCTGTCCATAACAACATGTTATGGAACTTGTCATGCATCCAGGCTAGTGTCAGCTTTTCAACACAGTTCCAAAGAAGCTGTGGCTTGCGTTTTTGACGTATTTATATGATAGCATGTGTTTGTTCCTCACTGCTCAACTTGATAATTGTTGCTGTTTATATTTTGATTAAAAATATGTCAAGCCAAACACACTTTTGTAAAGCCCCAACCCCACCACCAAAAGGCCCCACCACCAAAGGCTGTTGATGTGATGATGTGTGTTATTTCAACAGCCATTAATAGTCTACTGCAGAGCCCTCTCCTTAGAAAGCAGGTTTTCTACTATACCACACTGGCCAGACGGGTTGGTATAGGGTTTGTGTCTAGTTTTTCTTCTGTTTGCAGTGCTGTTGTCCCGCATAGTTTGCTCCCTTAAGTCGACTCTTACGACACCCATGGGATGAATTTGGGTGACGACACTCCCTATTCTTACCATGATGATTTTTTTATGTTAACAATCTTTTATTTCCTTATAGTGGCCATTTATCTAAATGTCCCGAAGTAAGATATTATTTAAAGTCAAAGATTTTCTAATATAGAACTCAGTAATAGTTGTCCCAGGAAACATGTCCAGAATTTCAAGATAATAGTAAAAAAACACATCTCACACGGCCGTTTGCTCCTAAACTAGGCAGAGCCTGTGCTATGGTAACCAGATTGCCGATAAACATACGTATATATTTCTAAACACAGATAAATTACACCCACAGAACAAATGGTGATGTCCTTAAACAAGTATTTGTCCTATGTGGAATTAAACCCACGACTTCTGGACTTCACAACCAAGCTTGTCAGTTATTACATTCTTAAAAATGAGTTTGTCTTAACAGGTGAACGTGAACTTAAATCAAAAGCTACGTCGCGAGGAGCCTGAAAAGAAATCAACATCTTCAAGACGTCGCAAGGAAGATGACAAGGAGAATACTGAGCCACTGCTCAATATTGAGAGTAAGTTATTCTAGCAGTTGGCCTGACTCATCTTAATTTAAGATATTGTGGGCAGTACTTGTTATATATCCATTTTTTTTAGTACCAATGGTTAGCTTCACTTTCATAAATTATGAAGAATTGGAGAATCTAACTAAATGGTGATAAAGTTCTGCGCCTGCGACACACACACATGCATCGCGCACACACACACGTCTCACACACACACACACACACACACACACATCGCACACACACACACTCACTTGCGCACACACACACCCACGCACGCTATATAACCAAGTTTCATTGCAAGCAATGGTGCTGTGAATCTTCATCTTTTTCCTGGAGATGGTTGGTTTCCACGACAGTGTTAAACTAATGTGGCTGTTATTGAACATCTTTAGACTGTATATTCTTGTTAAAAATAAAAATAATTATTATTACCTATTATTAAATCATACAGAGTTTTGGCTATTGGGTATTAAATACGTATTTTCTTCTGCAGTCAAACAAGAGAAGATATCACTACCGTCAGACCCAGAGTCTATGGAAATGGAGTCTCTGCCAATCAATGTTGAAGTTAAACAAGAACTAAGTAAAGATGAAATTGCGATGCCACCACCTGTCGCGCCAGTTCCTAGTAAGTTAATTTCTTCAGATATAATGTAACCAGTTCTCTTATGTAAAGTAATTACTTGTTTTGTACTATAGTCCAACCAAAAGTTCTAAGAAATAGGAGTTTCGTCTGAAAACTTGGAACCTCATTGTTCTGGGTGACGTCATTGCTCACGGCTTGATCGATGCGTCACTATTTTCTTAACGCGAATGGACTGTAAGATTTTTATTCGAAAACAATGTCGTGCAATATTAAACTTTATTCAATAGCATTCAGAGTTACTTTTTAATTAATATGTCTTGCTAAAGTTGATCATTTTATTTATTTGTGTAATTTTTAGTTTGATAGACTATGTTAGATTTTGATAAAAGACTAATTGATTTCGAACATTCTGAGGACTTAGTGTAAGATTATTTTATTTCAAATCGGTCTCGAGGGCGAACGCATTTGGCGTTGTGATTGGTGGCGATTTTAGTGCCGGCCAATCGCAACGCCAGACGCGGTCACTGTGATAATGATGTGAAATAAACTTACACAGGGCTTTTGTTTGTGTATATCACTCTTTTTCAATGATGTTTTCAACGGTCGACCTCCAATTTTTAAACCTTAAATACTTTAGTATATATTTTTTAACAGAAACAAGAGCGAAGGCGGCGCCTAAAGAGAAAGTATTGGATGAAAGTAGTGAGGAGGAGTCCTCAAGCCGGAGGAGAACAACCAGAACCAGAAAACAGACACACAACCAGGACACAGCCCCTGGTATTTTATATCTTGGATTAATTAACTATTTTATATCATATAAAACACTGTTGTTTTATAGAACTAAAACATACTGATGCTGCTCTTCAAACTAGGCAGTGCCTGTATTATGGGAGTTAAATTAATGAATAACTAACGTTACGTTATTGGCTTCAATTCAATTCAATTGCGTATTTTTACTGTTTCGTTAACTGTCTTTTTCTGGACAACAGGTACCCCTTGTTCTCCTGGGAATGTGTGTGCAAAGTTACATGATGATCTGTTAAGTGGCTATGGTGTGGAAGTAGTGGAAGCTTTCACTCATGGTTTTGCTCGCGTTAATGTACATTTGGCCTTTCTAAAGCCTATGTACCATAGCTAATCCAAACCATAATCTATCTGTGTTCCAAATTTCATCCAGATTTGTTCAGCCGTTGGGGCGTGTTTCAGTAACAAACATTCATCCTCATAAACTACGTATTTCTAATATTAATCAGATTTAGGATTAGAACTCGACCATTTATAATAATTAAATATAAAATGTGTCAGTTCCCGCGCCGCGATCGACTCGAGCGAGTTCACGAGCCACGAAGCAAGCTGAACCGGAAGAACCCGCGCCACCTCCGCCTGACGCCAGACCCAAGCGGACCAGGGCTAAGAAGGTATGATATAGTTGTCATTTAGAATTTGGCCGTTACGTACGCGCAAGGTAGTCGACCAGGGAAGCTAATGCATTATCATCATCAACAGCCTTTAATAGTCGACTGCTGGATATAGGCCTCTCCTAAAAAAGGAGGTTTTGGCCTAATATACCACAATGCCCAGACGGGTGTAGAGTTTGTTACAAGTTTTCCTTCTCTTTGCAGTGCTGTTATAGATTGCTCTTAGGGCACCCACAGGATGAATAGGGGCAGTAGCACTCCTTATTCTTTATGTGTCACCGCACAGACAGAAGAGCGAATTGATGGTAATGAATCAACACACAAGGTCACAAATTTCAAAATTTTAACGTTTAAAAAGGCTACTACAGCTTAACAATCCACTAAGTTAGGCTCAGAACAGAGCTTCGGGGGCTTCCATCGAGGTCCAACCGATAGCAGGCGAGACAGGCTTATGGAACCGGAGTTTGTGGTGGAAGAAAGCGGAGAGCCACATCACATATAGTAGAGACACTCGCAAATAACTGTTAGTCATCTTGTAAAGAAATATGAGATAACAAAAAATATATATATAAGGAGACAAATTATTATAAAAAGTATGCAAATTTCTCTTTAAGTTTAAAAATATCAATTTCGTGAGTAAGAAATAAAATGGCATATTAAAATTTCATATTTATTTTTCCTAATTACAAGTGAAAATGTCAAGAAGGAAATATGACACTTCAGCGTAACCCTCCCTTACTTTATTCATTTAATAAAATATTACGGGTTTATTTGATTAAAAATGTTATAATTCGTTAAGTCGAGAAACTTCGGAATAATAAGTTAAATTATTTTGATGTGTAACATCGATATGTGTAGGGGACGGAAGTATGTTACAAGTGACAGTGTCCTTTTTAAAAGGCTGGCAACGCGCTTGTGACGCCTGGAGTTGCAGGTGTTTCTGGGCAGCGGTAGTCGCTTTCCATCAGGTGACCCGTCTGCTTTGCCCGAAGAAAAAAATGATGTTACACTTCAAATGCGACTACTGTAGGCGTTTTTTTTATGCAATCACACACCCAATTAGCCATTTTATAGTTATATAAGTGTTAGAGAAACACTCGTCAAAGATGGCCCATAGTGGGTCTGTAAGTCTGTCTGTTACATATTGGTACTATGTCAAGGTTCTAATTTATATCATTATTTACAGAAAGTGTCTGATGTGGCACCGGAATCGGAACAGGCAACAGAACCGATACCGTCAGCAAATGTATTGGGTAAGCTACTTTTATTATCATTATGTAAAAACAAAGCACTTTTATTTATTAACTAATCTAAAACTCACTAATCCAATTCTGTCTATACTAGTCTTCTAGCACTTAGGTCTATTACGAACTGTCGACTGGTCGCTGGCGACTGAAACAGAAAACTAGGACGGAAACCAAGCCACTGAGTTTAGTGTTTCTTGTACAGTCGTCCACAAAAACATTGTAGAAGCTGCAATAGTAGCATTACGAATAGGCTAGTTGACTCGATTTGAAAACTTGGTTAAAAACATACTTTAATATCTATTTTATCCCAAAAAATTAACCTAAAAGTCGCTATTTATTTAATACTAGCTGAGACCCGCGGTGTTACCCGCGTTTGTTGTTATAACCGCGGGCAACGCCGCGGGGTAAAGCTAGTCTAAAAAAAGTAGCCTAAGTTACTCCTTATGTAATCAGCTATCTGCCAGTGAAAGTCCCGTCGAAATCGGTCCAGCCGATCCAGAGATTACCCGGAACAAACAAACAGACAGACTGACAGTAAAAAATTGTAAAAAATGTTATTTTGGCATATGTACCGTGTAAACATACATATGCATTTAGTAAAAAGTGGTTATTTTAATATTACAAACAGACACTCCAATTTTTTTTATTTGTATAGACAAAAAAAAACTAGACTAATTGAGAACCACTTCTTTTGTGTCTTTGAAGTCGGTTAAAAAGGGTTTTATTCGGTTTAACTTAGAAGCGAATGTTGTATAAATACAGAAGCAAACTGTTGTATTATATAGACGGTATTATATTAACTTTAAGACTGACACTGACCGTGGTGAAAACTGCCTCCTGTCTTTCTTCACTTTTATTTCCCTTAATATAAATAAGCTTTAAATATACTAATTTCAAATTGTAATTTATTTTAGCATCTCCTGGTGAGAAACCAAGACCTAAAAGAACAAGAAGAGCTCAAAAAGCCGCGTAAGTGTTTTTATATATTTATTAAACTTTGTTTTCAAAAGACAACTTACTCTCTAGGAATATACCCTGTGTCGTGGGCAACTTAAAAAAAAGGTATGATACGGACACAAAGAACACCCAGACTCAGAACAAAAATTTGTGGATCTCACAAAGTGTTGTCTAATGTGTGGATCGAACCCACAACATCGAAGCGCCGAGTTGTTTTATCTATGCATTTCCTCCTCAAACTAATTTAAAAAAAAACTGTTATAATAATAAACATGTTTTAATTGCAAACAATACTATTTACCTCTTTTAGAGAAAAGACTGAAGAGAAGCCAGAGCCAGTGATATCACCCAAAAAAGAACACGTATCACAGGACCAAGTGTCATCGCCAATTATATCTCAACCAACAAAAGAAACTAAGAAGCAAACAGATAAAGACAAAGTGAACCCAATTTCTCAAACCATACGGTCCAGTATCGAGGAGACCGACGCTTTAGATAAGACGAGAGTGTTGGCCAACGCTAACAATATGGATACAACTGTGGTTGTGCCCAACGCACTGTACAACCATGCGCCGGTCACGCCCACTAACGTCGTAAGTAAATATACTTTATTAGGACAAAAATCTACTTAATCACCGTTATTTTAGAGTTCTCATTCTAAATAGCAAAAGGAACAATTTTGAAGTTGCTTTTTCTGTCTGTGTATCTGTCTGTCTGTTATTGGTTTTTTATCTAGGGAACGCGTTCAGATATCACGTTGAAATTTAGATCAAATACTTTATGTCTCCTTTGGGACTGTAAGAAAGTAAAGCGCAGCGCAATTATCTTTTACCGTTTCCGTATCTTTTAATTGCTTTGACATAGAAATTTAATTTTGTTTAATTTTTAATGTGTAATTGTTAGGTCAGACTGGCTGAGACGCGTCGTCATGGCATGCGTTGCCACGTAATATGGCGACGCGTCGCCATGCGCAAATGACTCTGCTTTGCTAAAAAATAATTGCGATGTGGGTAACATGTTAGATCATCATATGCGATTGCTGTAAGGATCGACGGTTTTTTTGAAGAAAATAATCCTTTTTTTTTACATCTTACATAGCTTTATTGTCGTTTATATTTAATGAATTAGTTACATTTTGAACATTAGAAGACTAGTGTGTATGTAAATATCCGGTATCGTCTATTTTACATACCTAATCCTGTAAAATATTACTCTGTGAAAAGCAATCAAGGATTGTTTAACATCGGTTTTCTCTGCTAATACATACTCCTTCTACATCACCAATTCGGTCAGGTCAGATGTTCAGCTTGGTTTCTAAATGTATTTATATAAAAAACTAGCTAGTTTGCGTGCAATTTGAAACGCTGGGTTAGTGGTGTAGTACGGTACGCGACTGCAAAAAAAGTGTTTTTCTGAGAGAAAAAATAGCCTAAGTTACGCCTTATAGCCACCTGGTAGTAAAATATTAATAAAATCGGTCCAGAAGTTTTGAATAGTACCCGGAACAAACAGACAGACAGAGCATGTCTGCAGCCGTGTGAACATGAAAAAAAAACATTTATTTGACAATGTTTCAGCGCCATATGAACGAGACGGTGGTCATAGAAGCAGCCACCAGAGAAACCATGGTGCTGGATAAACCACAGAATGCTCTAATGGATGCCACTGTTGTGTTGGATAAAGGTAATTTTCATTTCAATACATACTTTCTAAGCTTATGCATTTATTCACAAAGTAATCCTATAATCGTAAATATATCTAAATTACAATCTTTACGGTACACTCTACTTCCAGACCTAACAGGAGCCCTTTATAATATGGTATAGAGTACATAATGGCGTAGTGGTTTGTGTAACGGACTGCTATTCCAAAGGTCGTGGGTTCAATACCCGCTCAAGTCAAACATTTGTGTGCAGGAATATTTAATATCTGATTTGGTCTGGGTGTTTCTATGTATAATAAGTATATATTTACAGAAAAAAAAGTATATATGTATTGATATCAGTTGTCTAGTAGCCATAGTACAAGCTCTGCTTAGTTTGAGACTAGATGGCGTTGTGTGAATGTGATAGAATATTATATTATTATTAAAGAACTCGTTAGAGCGCCTTTATGCATCAAACTGTTTAATAAACCAAAGTGCTTGTGAAATCCGATAAAAGTTAATTATGAGTTGTTCTATTGACATGCATTGATTGTTCTAGAGCCGAGACCAGAGAACGTAACGGACGATAACTCGTTGCTGACAGACGACAGCGACTCTGCGGAGTTGCACACCCCTCCCAAACAGGAACCACCCAAAATGCAACCCACGTAAGTTGTTTAAACTTAAACCTAGTTCTATATCCCTTTAGTGATAACACAGAAAGAATTAATCTATATAGTTCATTCGCGTTAAGAAAATAGTGACGCATCGAAGCTAAAAGTGTATTCGGTGTTGAGTAAAAAATTTAAACAAATTATATTAGTATAACTAATCTACCTGAACGTAAACATTCTTATAAAACAAAAGCTTAGTAACATCACACAACATGGTTAAAGTTAAGTAAGTATCATATGGCGGCAATCTGTCTTTGATACAGCAACCACAGAAATTGTAATTTTATCTTGGCTTCCATCATCATCATCATCATCAGCCTATCGCAGTCCACTGCTGGACATAGGCCTCTCCCTTTGCACGCCACTTAGATCGATTTTGTTCTTCTCGCATCTTGGCTACCGAATTGGCATAATTATTGCATGCCGAAATTTATCTAAGTGGCGTGCAATGGGAGAGGCCTATGTCCAGCAGTGGACTGCTATAGGCTGATGATGATGATGATGAAATTGCAAATTTAGTCCCTGAAAACACCTTATTTGGGGTAAAAATGCGTTGATTTATCATATACTGCCACTGAAGGTCGACTTTGTGGGTGCAAAGCCTTCCCCCACCCCCACCCTCCAACGGTTTTTTGTTCGTTTGAAGGCTGACGTGATCGTGATAGTTAATAGTGACAATTTGTGAAGATGTTCAGCTTATTTCTTAGCTGATGGATCTTATTGACTTGCACAACTCCGATTGGTTTGAAAGTTGGTGTAATGTTACTTCAGTGATATTTCCATGATATGGTAACCTGCAGTTGATACTGCAGTCAAACCTTGGTTTGATGTTGGTATCGGAGATGTTCAAATTTTTTTATTTATGTTATTCACTGCTGTAAAACATGTATTATATCTCACACATATAATAATAATAATATCTCACACATCTCACACACAGCTGTCTGATCCCAAACTAGGCAGAGCCCGTATCATGGTAACCAGACTGCTGCTGCTGATAAACATACTTATATATTTCTAAACATATACATATTATAGACAAATTACACCCAGACACAGAACAAATGATCGTGCTCATCACACAAATATTTGTCCTGGGTGGGAATCGAACCCACGACCTCCGGTTTGGCAGTCAGGGTCACTAACCACTAGACCAACAGGCCCGTCAAATAAAATTAAATTATTATTGCATTTCTTATTTTTGTACCAGATCTGCTGTCAAAGAGAAAGTTCAACAATTCGAAGAGATGGCGTCCAGAGTGACCAGAACGAAAACGAGAGCTATGGCTAAAAAGGTAATATTAGCTTTATGTAAAGAGTAAGCAGATGCTTGAATGCATTTAAAACAAATAAATACCTTAAATAGGAGTAGTATTTATTTTTAACCGACTTCAAAAAGGAGGAAGTTATCAATTTTGGTGTGTTTTCTAATATATATGTTCGAGTATTAACTCCGTGATATATAGACGGATTTTCAAAATTCTTTTTTTGTTGGAAATGGGGTTTATTCCGAAATGGTCCCATTTAAATTTCATTTAGATCTGATGATGAGTTTCGGAGACAGACCACGGAACTCTTAAAAAAATTACAGCATATCAACCGCGATTGCTTATAGGTTTTTAGTGCTTTTTGTTAGTATCGTTTTATCGTTTTAACATTTTTTTAAAAGGATTTAAGTACAAGAAAAAAGAGTCAGATTTTTCGAGACACGCCTCATCAACATAACAAATCCATAAGAGGATGGTAAATGATCCATAAGAGGCACCAACATTTTGCGAACTATAATTTTGGTCCCACTCCACATTAATCACATATCTCACTCTTTAAATTAATTAATTGGGTTGAAACCATCAAAAACTATTTCACACTGTGGGATTGATTCAAGATCAATGCAAACATTTTTATTGAATGAATACATGCATATGCATAAAATAAATTTGTATAAATAGTTGTTCTAGAACATACAGTAAAAGCTAAGCTTACTTTGGGTCTATTCTTATTGTCCCATCTAGGAGGAGGACACTGAGACCTACACACCGCCAGATAAGATCGTGAAGCCAGTGTTATCAGCTGAGACTCTCGCCAAGATGAATAGCATGATATTTAATGGGAAGCAGGTAAATATTGTATATTCTTGTGTCACTACTAATGTCCGTGTGGTCACCACCGCTGTTCATCCCATGGGTGTCTTAAGAGCCGACTAAGGGAGCCAACTACGCAAGAGAACAGCACTGCAAAGAGAAGGACTTAAACGAACTTTATACAAACCCGTAGTATCGGCTCAAAACCTCCTTTCTAAGGCCTAAGTCCAGCAGTGGACTGTTAAAGGCTATTGATGATGCTGATGACCGTTGGAAAGCCATGCATTTGCACAAATGAGCTGGCTCTACCGGAGTGCTACCACCGCCTAACAGAAAACCGGTTTTAAGCAATTCTTTCCATACTTTGACAATTAACATCTAATATTAATTTTACCTACATTGACAAATAAATATTTGTATTTCTAAAAGAAAGCTAAATAAAACCTTTGCTTATGGGGATAGTGCAGATGAATGACGAAGTTGAATAAAGGGTTTAATAAAATGATAATGATTAAGTATTGTTTTTGTATACCCTGTATATGTATCATTGCCTCCAGAATTTCTTTTTCAATATAATATACACCTTTCCCTATTACAGATATCAAGTTCAGCTACAAAGCCTCGGTCCAACATTCCAACCGCTAAGCCAGTTTCGGCGTCTGCTTCTAAACTGAGCGGAATCAACAAGGCGAGAGAGGAGGCTGAAGCCAAGAGGGAGAAAGAAGATGCCAGAAAAAAGAAGGAAGCTATGCTCGAGGCTAAACGGGAATTGCATAAGAGGTAAAATTTCTAATTTCAACTGTAGCGGAAAATGTTTATTGGATCGATTGCTGTGAGTTTGTTTCCCCTCTCTTCTCACAAGGCTTCAAGCCCTTTGAAACGGGTGGTCGTAGATCGACATAGGCACATAGTAAACACCGACTGACACGGACTTTCCGGGCATGGTTCCTGTCACCACTGTGATCGCAGTGAGGACCCTGCTCAGCACACTGGTAATTCGCTCAGGGGACCTTTCGCTAGTGGCCGTCATACGCTCCATGGCCGGTAGCGACAGTCGTTTTACCGCGGTCGCATCGTTCTGCGAAGACGTCATCTCACAGACGGAGACAGCGGAGAGGGCCCGGGAGAACAATCTCCACTCGGACCTAATTCGACGAGCCGAGCGGCCGAGGCACTCTTACCGGCGCCTCATGCTGGGTGTGGCCGCGAGTGGACGGGACGCTATAGTGGCCAGCCGCGAGGAAATAAATAAAGAATTCACCCGAAGGTGGAGCCCGCGTCGTTGCGGGCCTTCGCTAGGAGGGGTCCGGATGTCTTAATAACAGCAGTTCCCGGATCCCTCCTGTTACAGGCGCAGAGTGGCACATCGTGTGGCTTTAGTCGGTTCGATTCCGACACAACACTCCACCGCTCACCCCAGTGGGCGACAGTCTAAGGGGGTTCCCACACGTAAAAAAAAACCATAAAATAGATTTTATATTAAGATACTTTTGCCAAATATTTAACAAAATAAATTGTTGCTATTGTGTATATACTTTAATGTCAATTCCAATTTACGCTGAACAACCAGTTTTTAAAAATGGTAAAATTATATCCATTTAGACATAAATATTGCCTTATGATAACACTTACCTATAAAAAACACGCCCGTTAGCTTTCCGGTCGGCCATATACCGGATAGTAAGGCAATATGTGAGTGAATACCAACTATTAAATATAGTTACTTTATCAAATCTCTGTTTGTGTGGAAACTCCCACGGAGATAATCTAATCCGGACCTAACGGTGAGGTCGGATGTCGAAACCGATTTATCAGCACGCGGTTTAGTTACCAAGAATCAGGTAGCGTAAAGGAAATCTCTATGAATATATAATAAATTAGCAGATGGACTTTACGATAAAACGATTTTTATTTTTGAAGTTACAGAAAATTATTTTCTACTTTTTAGTTCGTCTAGTTTTTATTAGTTTTTTAAACTATAATTTATTTTAATTAAAAGGTAAAAAAAGATTTCATGATAATCGTAAGAAACTCACTCAGATAGGTTTTAATAATATTCTTTGTCTTTGTTGTTGTAGAAAGCGCGAAGAAAAGATGGCTGCTGCAGCTGCGGCGAGAGAGGCGGCTGAGAGGGAGCGGAAGGCCAATATGGAGGCCGCCATCAGGGATCGGATGGAGAAGCAGGCTCACGCCGACCTCGGGAAACTCGAGAGGCTCAAGGAGGCTGAGAGGGTACGTACTCTTTATGTGATGGCTTTTGAGTGATGGTTGTAAAGTCAAATCAGTATTTTTTATATTTATATATTTTTAAGTATTTTATTACTTGTCGTTATGCGGTTCAACCCACGTATTTACGCTAGTTACTCAAACCTCACCACTGCTTGTAATTTACACGCTTTATATTAGCTTCACTTGTATGTTTGAAACCGACTCATTTGGGCGTGATTTTGACTGACTTTAAACGTTCAGAATTCGTTCAAACTTTGAAGAAATATCGAGGACCGATGACAATACACTAATAAAAAAAATATATATATAGTTTTAAAAAACTAAAAAACACGCTTTCTATAGAAAACCAAACTAAAAAATAGAAAATAAAAAAAAGCGTGGGGTGCTTTTTACTATTGACAACAGGCACCCTGGGGTTTTTTATTTTTTTAAACTGTAATTTTTAATTCTTCAGTAATAATCAACTATGTTTTGGTCACTTCAGAATATAAATTAAATCTAAAAGACAAATCCTCCACCTCAAACTCCAAAATCTATTACGACTTTTAGACTAGAAACAATACATATATACACTCGAAAATATAGCCGTCCTTCTGGAACCGCTCTTTATATATTATAATTCTTCTGTGCGTGTGTATGTGCTATACTCGTCCTAAACGGCTGCACCGATTTTGATGTTTTTTTTTTGTGTGTGTTCAAGTGATTTTCGAGAATGATTTAGTAATTTATTAATTTACTAGCTGACCCGCGCAACTTCGTCTGCGTCTCTCAATAGTAATAAATTTTCTCCGTTTTTGAAATATTCTTCATTGGTGCTCCGCTCCTATTGGTCTTAGCGTGATGATATATAGCCTATAGCCTTCCTCGATAAATGGGCTATCTAACACTGAAAGAATTTTTCAAATCGGACCAGTAGTTCCTGAGATTAGCGCGTTCAAACAAACAAACAAACAAACTCTTCAGCTTTATAATATTAGTAGAGACTTATAGTTTTTTTAAATTATTTATATGTGTGTATAGGACAACGTCTGCAGGGTCCGCTAGTATATACATACATAATAATAAAATAGTAACCAACACACCAAAATGGTGAAGGACACTTCTGTTAGTTCTCCTGTCTATAACCGTCACTGACCACTTTCCCTCTAACAATTTAATTTATTCATTGTCACTTAAAAAATCTTTAAATATCTGTTGATATTGTAGAAAAAGCAAGAATTAGCCCGCAAAGTGGCAGGAACAGAAGAACGTCGTCGTGCTGAGGAGCAGGCTCGGCAACAGCGGCTCGCTGAGGAGCAGAGGAGAGCTGATGAAGCTAGAAAGAAACAGTTGGAAGAGGCTGCTGCGTATGTATCTTCACATTTCAAAACCTTATTACACACATGAACCCTTGCTCGCGGATTCGTTCGGGTTGCGAAATCCGATTTGACGACCGGATGGCGTAGTGGTTTGTGAACGGACTGCTATTCCAGAGGTCGCGGGTTCGATTCCCACTCAAGTCAAACATTTGTGTGCATGAACATTTAATGTTTAATTTGGTCTGGGTGTTTCTATGTATAATATGATTGTATTTACAAAAAAAAGTATATGTATTTATATCAGTTGTCTAGTACCCATAGTACAAGCTCTGCTTAGTTTGGGACTAGATGGCGTTGTGTGTATGTTAATAAAAAAAATGAAAATTTTAGAAAATTATGATCATCGTTTTTAATAATAACATTTTATTTCGAGTAACTGTGACTTATAGTAATTGTTAGTAGTCCATTTAAACTTAGCCTATGTTAGTATTAAGGTACAGAATTACAAAAAGATGCATGTAGCAGACAGCATCGAGTCATATATAGACAGTCCACTCTGTCGGCTATCATGGCTAGGCCCTGTTGGAGCTGCCCCTTACCCGCGACAAGAATGACGCTGCCCATTTTTACTATTGAGTTGATTTTTTTAGAATTCCCCTCGAATTCTCACTCAGGTTTTGCCATACTTTCCTCTTTTTCGGTTTTTTGAAGTCTGTCTATTGCCATTTTAGCTAACTAATAGCAGAGTCTAATAGGCAGGCGAGACGGTGACGTTATTTGAGTTATATGTATCAGTTGACTGGGTTTCAGTGACATCTTTCACGATTTTCATGAAATCCTGCTTAAGCCATATCCCCTCGCTGTTTGGTGTAACCTTAATATCTACTGCTATTAAGGCTTAATATATATATTTTACTAGCTGACCCGCGCAGCTTCGTCTGCGTCTCTCAATAGTAATAAATTATCTCCGTTTTTGAAACATTCTTCATTGGTGCTCCGCTCCTATTGGTCTTAGCGTGATGATATATAGCCTATAGCCTTCCTCGATAAATGGGCTATTTAACACTGAAAGAATTTTTCAAATCGGACTAGTAGTTACTGAGATTAGCGCGTTCAAACAAACAAACAAACAAACAAACTCTTCAGCTTTATAATATTAGTATAGATTTATTGTACCATGTCTGATGGGGAAATCTTTACCACAGTCAACTATATAGTTATTGGTAAAATGTTTATTTTGTTTTGTTTAACAGTATGAAGAAAGAAGCAGCGATAATGGCAAAGGAAATTGAGAAAAGACAGAAGGAGTATATTGAAAAACAGAAGCTTAAACAGAGAATGGAAGAAAAAAGTGAGTATTGTTAATTTTTGGATATAAGTGCATAAATAGTAACATTAAGTCGATTAAGAGTGCGAAGTGTCATCAACCCTATGTCATCATCTCAAGGGTGTCGTAAGGGCCGACGAAGAGAGCGCAATACGCAGGACAGGACAGCCCTGCAAAGAAAAGAAAAACATGAATTAAACCTCGCCTGGCCAGCGTGGTGTAGTAGGCCGACACCTCCCTTTTCAGGAGAGGCCTATGCCCAGCAGTGAACTAAGGCTGTCGATGATGACTGTTTTTCAGCTTTATAAGCTTTTTGCCCATACCGTAACTGAATGGTCGTATTGCAGGTCACACGCCGCTGAAGGGTGCGGGCGGCGCCTGGCACGGGTCTGCGCTGGAGCCCGTCCACATGGCCGACGGCTTCCAGTACCTCAACAGCGACGAGGACGAAGAACCCGTCGAGCGCCCAGTGCCTGACTGGAGCACCTACAAGGTCACTCATCTCAACTAACTTTCTAAAACTGCGTTTATTCTTTAGCGATGCCCTTGTTTAAGGCAAAAAAATCTACTTGAAAAAAAACAGAAAACGATGTGTAGATTTAGCGATCACTGTGAAATCGTCGGTCGCATATAAGTCGGGGCTATTGGTTTCTTGTTTAAGATTACAGTTTTCAGCAAACCACGAATAATGAGAACAAAAAAATGACTCGATATATCTAAAAACATTGCATGCAAGTAGTCTATAGTACTCCAGGATAATATACCTTCCTAAGAGTAAAAAAAAATTCAAAATCGGATCGGTAGTACCGGAGATTACTTCCCAACATACAAACTTTAAATCATAATATTAGTATAGATTACGAACATTTCTCAACAAAACATTTAGTACCTTTTTACTTCAAAACATCACTGTTTGAAATTATTTCCAACCGTTGTAAACACCGATGTGGGAGGACTTTAATACTTAATCTACCAATTTAAATGTTTAACTTACAGGCTCGCAAAAAGCAACTGTTCATCCAAAGCCAAGTGTCGAACGCGCACGTTTATAGATTATTCAGCGTGAGAGTGCACTCTCCGGACCTCCGCGACATCTTCCCCAACATCGACCGATCTCGCCTCAAGCGGACCTCCTCTGCCGTGTGGCGCACTCCTCCCGCCAGACTCGCCGCCGTCACTGAGTGATCACTTGTGTGGTACATGTTGTGTGTAAGTATCTGTGCGACATAGACCCAGCTCGCCTCAAGCGGACCTCCTCTGCCGTGTGGCGCACTCCTCCCGCCAGACTCGCCGCCGTCACTGAGTGATCACTTGTGTGGTACATGTTGTGTGTAAGTATCTGTGCGACATAGACCCAGCTCGCCTCAAGCGGACCTCCTCTGCCGTGTGGCGCACTCCTCCCGCCAGACTCGCCGCCGTCACTGAGTGATCACTTGTGTGGTACATGTTGTGTGTAAGTATCTGTGCGACATAGACCCAGCTCGCCTCAAGCGGACCTCCTCTGCCGTGTGGCGCACTCCTCCCGCCAGACTCGCCGCCGTCACTGAGTGATCACTTGTGTGGTACATGTTGTGTGTAAGTATCTGTGCGACATAGACCCAGCTCGCCTCAAGCGGACCTCCTCTGCCGTGTGGCGCACTCCTCCCGCCAGACTCGCCGCCGTCACTGAGTGATCACTTGTGTGGTACATGTTGTGTGTAAGTATCTGTGCGACATAGACCCAGCTCGCCTCAAGCGGACCTCCTCTGCCGTGTGGCGCACTCCTCCCGCCAGACTCGCCGCCGTCACTGAGTGATCACTTGTGTGGTACATGTTGTGTGTAAGTATCTGTGCGACATAGACCCAGCTCGCCTCAAGCGGACCTCCTCTGCCGTGTGGCGCACTCCTCCCGCCAGACTCGCCGCCGTCACTGAGTGATCACTTGTGTGGTACATGTTGTGTGTAAGTATCTGTGCGACATAGACCCAGCTCGCCTCAAGCGGACCTCCTCTGCCGTGTGGCGCACTCCTCCCGCCAGACTCGCCGCCGTCACTGAGTGATCACTTGTGTGGTACATGTTGTGTGTAAGTATCTGTGCGACATAGACCCAGCTCGCCTCAAGCGGACCTCGTCTGCCGTGTGGCGCACTCCTCCCGCCAGACTCGCCGCCGTCACTGAGTGATCACTTGTGTGGTACATGTTGTGTGTAAGTATCTGTGCGACATAGACCCAGCTCGCCTCAAGCGGACCTCCTCTGCCGTGTGGCGCACTCCTCCCGCCAGACTCGCCGCCGTCACTGAGTGATCACTTGTGTGGTACATGTTGTGTCTAAGTATCTGTGCGACATAGACCCAGCTCGCCTCAAGCGGACCTCCTCTGCCGTGTGGCGCACTCCTCCCGCCAGACTCGCCGCCGTCACTGAGTGATCACTTGTGTGGTACATGTTGTGTGTAAGTATCTGTGCGACATAGAACCAGCTCGCCTCAAGCGGACCTCCTCTGCCGTGTGGCGCACTCCTCCCGCCAGACTCGCCGCCGTCACTGAGTGATCACTTGTGTGGTACATGTTGTGTGTAAGTATCTGTGCGACATAGACCCAGCTCGCCTCAAGCGGACCTCCTCTGCCGTGTGGCGCACTCCTCCCGCCAGACTCGCCGCCGTCACTGAGTGATCACTTGTGTGGTACATGTTGTGTGTAAGTATCTGTGCGACATAGACCCAGCTCGCCTCAAGCGGACCTCCTCTGCCGTGTGGCGCACTCCTCCCGCCAGACTCGCCGCCGTCACTGAGTGATCACTTGTGTGGTACATGTTGTGTGTAAGTATCTGTGCGACATAGACCCAGCTCGCCTCAAGCGGACCTCCTCTGCCGTGTGGCGCACTCCTCCCGCCAGACTCGCCGCCGTCACTGAGTGATCACTTGTGTGGTACATGTTGTGTGTAAGTATCTGTGCGACATAGAACCAGCTCGCCTCAAGCGGACCTCCTCTGCCGTGTGGCGCACTCCTCCCGCCAGACTCGCCGCCGTCACTGAGTGATCACTTGTGTGGTACATGTTGTGTGTAAGTATCTGTGCGACATAGACCCAGCTCGCCTCAAGCGGACCTCCTCTGCCGTGTGGCGCACTCCTCCCGCCAGACTCGCCGCCGTCACTGAGTGATCACTTGTGTGGTACATGTTGTGTGTAAGTATCTGTGCGACATAGACCCAGCTCGCCTCAAGCGGACCTCCTCTGCCGTGTGGCGCACTCCTCCCGCCAGACTCGCCGCCGTCACTGAGTGATCACTTGTGTGGTACATGTTGTGTGTAAGTATCTGTGCGACATAGACCCAGCTCGCCTCCAGCGGACCTCCTCTGCCGTGTGGCGCACTCCTCCCGCCAGACTCGCCGCCGTCACTGAGTGATCACTTGTGTGGTACATGTTGTGTGTAAGTATCTGTGCGACATAGAACCAGCTCGCCTCAAGCGGACCTCCTCTGCCGTGTGGCGCACTCCTCCCGCCAGACTCGCCGCCGTCACTGAGTGATCACTTGTGTGGTACATGTTGTGTGTAAGTATCTGTGCGACATAGACCCAGCTCGCCTCAAGCGGACCTCCTCTGCCGTGTGGCGCACTCCTCCCGCCAGACTCGCCGCCGTCACTGAGTGATCACTTGTGTGGTACATGTTGTGTGTAAGTATCTGTGCGACATAGACCCAGCTCGCCTTAAGCGGACCTGCTCTGCCATCTGGTGGTTTTTTTTTGTGCGCTTTATCTCCGGCAAAGCCATTCTAGGGCACAAATGGCAAGCACAAAACTTTTCGTTGCTTTTCACCAAATGAGTGTTTTTTTTAACTGCGACCGCCTAAACCCCTACGCATTCCGCCATCCCCTACGCCGCAAGATTACCCGTGGCCTAACCACTACCCTCTAATTTTGGGAGGGGGGCACTCAAAGCGTGGCAACGCAGTTGTCTTGATTTTCAGGTATCAATGAGCAGCGATAGTCACCATCAACTGACGCGTCTGCTTGTTTGCCCCCTATACCATAAAAGCTCAACAGCCTATGTAAGGATGTTGCAGACTACATTGTTTTTCTTTTTATTATTTCCAGGTAACAAAATGGCTGAATCATAAAGTCGCAGGCGGCGCTTTTGTAAATAGTGTATTTTATCACAATGTATTGTTTAATCAATATTGGCTTGTCTCCATAAGTTCAAGCCGCTGATACCTGTACAACAGTGGACATAGACAAAGCTATGTAAGATATTTGTCGTGTACTTATTGCAATTATCAAGCCTTAGTGAGGAAAGCGACTCTGTATTGATATACAGTAGAACTCACAAACCTATTTGCTATAGTTTACTTGCGCTCGGTACTGTGGGCTCACATATATTTGAACTGTAGTCTCTCTGTGTCCGTCTCATGGTGAAGTTTGAATGTTTTTTATTTTATTTGCAAGCTAAATACTAAAAACAAGAAATCCGACTGTTAAAATGAATATTAAAAAATTACAAGCCGGCGATTTTGATTTTTACAATTTACATTTACCCAACGTCACTCAAATTAAAACGAATCTAACGACACCTCAAACGCCAAAAATCCATTAGGCCACAGAAATATACATATACTCTAAAAACAACTCTCCTGTCGCAGTCTGTTAAAAAAATTAATTTATTATTCAGCTGTAAATACTATTCGATACAGTTTGTGTAAATTCCATTGTGTGTGTTTGTGATTAAATAAAATATATGTTCTTCCATTTACATTTACCAGTCCTAGCAAATATTATGTCAATTTTCATTTAGGTTAAAAAAGTCAATTTTTGTAATTAATAAACAACTAGTTGTACCCTGCCACGCGTTGCTATGGCACTTGTTGGTTAAATTGATGAGAAATGTGGAACTAAACTGACGCGAAAAATCAACACAACACAATCTTTGAAGCGGTTTCTCTTCTTCTTCTCTGTCGTCTCGCTCTTGGCAGAGCGGTCGTGGTTACATTGAGATGTCCACGTCGGCGGTAGAGGCGGACACAGTCCTTCGTACAATCGTCCGCCATCTCTCTCTGTTGGCACACTGTTGGATACAGTTGGAGATCTCACCTGGTCGCTATTCCGAGTAGAGACATTGCCAAAATACTGCAGTATGCGCGACTGTACTGAGGTTGACAGACGCTCTGTGATGCCAAGCTCCTGGAGTATGGACACGTTGGTGCGGAGCGGTTTATATATCGTGTCAAAATTTGAGTTCAATGGTGGAGAAATTTTTGAAGTGTACACAAAAAAGCTTAACATGTTTATAAAATACTAGCTGACCCGCGCAACTTCGTCTGCGTCTCTCAATAGTAATAAATTTTCTCCGTTTTTAAAACATTCTTCATTGGTGCTCCGCTCCTATTGCTCTTAGCGTGATGATATATAGCCTATAGCCTTCCTCGATAAATGGGCTATCTAAGAATTTTTCAAATCGGGCCAGTAGTTCCTGAGATTAGCGCGTTCAAACAAACAAACAAACTCTTCAGCTTTATAATATTAGTATAGATATTGATTTTAAACGGCTTGTAACACTAAAGCTTATCAAGCAACTTAACAGAAAAAACATACAGAGGAGAAAATGGTTCTTAACTGTTCTTTCTTTGTCCGTGTATTAATGTTTAGCAACAAATTAGTATAAGTTTTAATTAAACGTTGAAACTCAACTACGGTATACAGTTAATCTATGGCCATTTTATTGCATAATTATTGGCTATGGTCGCCATAAACCCCAACCAAAAAACTATGTTGAGTTTTGACAGTTGATTAGAAAGAACTGTAGTTAGAAGCCTTGTAGTATAATCATGATACCTTCACACATCTCACAGACGGCAGTCTGATCCAAGCTAGGCAGAGCCTGTACTATAGTAACCAAACTGCTGATAAACAAACTTATATATTTCTAAATATATACTGATAGATAAATTACACCCAGACCAGACACATCGCACCTTTATTCATAAACTGAATTAACTTAGAATTTCAATATTGTGGGAAATCGCATTTAAAGTTTGACATTCATGTACGTGCGAGTTCGTCAAAAAGAGAACGACGATCTCTTATCTCTGCCATTTTCATGGTATCGAGTCGGCTGTTGGATTGTTCGTGTTCTACTGATGAAGTTGATTTGGTATTTGTTGAAAACTCGAAAAACGTAAATTTTGAATTAATTCAGTTTATTATTAAAGGTGCGACATAACAAATGATTGTACTCATCACACAATATTTGTCCTATGTGGGAATCGAACCCACGGTCTCTGGCTTAGCAGTTAGGGTTATTAAACACTAGACCAACAGGTCTGTCAACTAAATATCTATTGCAAAACATTATAATTTGATTTGGAATAAACATATAGCAAACAGCCGTTAAGGCGAAAATGGCGTTGTATTTTTTCTATACTTTAGTATGACAACACGCTTTAGTATTCAGAGAACGTGCAAGCAATATTCTTCATAGTGTGAAAAATGATTTATAGTTTGTAGAACATGAATGTGACACTGTCACGTCTTGTTATGGTCACAGAGTCATGTCTACCAGACATAGAAAGTGACCTAATATAGTATATAATTCGCAATAGGAAATTTAAAAAAAAAATGCTCTTTGTAGCTTGTGTATGCATTTGATTGTTAGTATATGGTAAATTCTAATGTATTCAATTCAAATGTGGGTCATCACATCCAAAGTTCAGTAACCAATTGACTTAAATTTTTACCGACTTCAAAATAGCGAGAGAGGTTCACACTTCGGTTGTTTTTTTTTATTTTATTTTTTTTGTTACCTCAGAACTTCATTTATGAACCGACTTGAAAAAAAATGGGAGGACATGCTGGTTGGTCCCCTACAAGTTTAAAGAAACAAATATCACCCATTGATGGAAAATTAAGGAATGAAAAATACAGTTTGGTACCATTTTGAAGTTGGTCATACTTTTTTAAGGCCTCTGATTAAGTATGCTAGCGATAGGTTCTTTTTATCTCGTATTGTGCTTACCTTGCATAGAAATAAGGTCGATAATGCAACACGACGTAGTTATAATAAATAGTTATAATATATTTTATGAAGTTTTTAATAGTTGTTATGCAATTTTGTATGTTAAGTCGTGTTTTGATGTTTGGAACTTATAATATAGCAAATACATGGACACGAATTTACATTATTTTTATCTGCTGATGAAGTGATGTTAAAAGTAAAAGAGATGGGTATGTTGGTCCCAAATTTGCTCAACAATCTGAACCAAATGTTATGTCAAAAAGCCTTGCTATATTTCCAAGTTGTAAACTGAAGTTCTACTTACAAAATCAAAGGACGTTGTGTATAAAATAAAGATTATACTGCTATTATTATTGTGAGTGGGATTATTGTGTCCGTTAATATGTTATTAGACCTTATTATACGGATAAATTAAGTCCTGCTTAGCTGCCTTATTGGTTTCGTAGAATTTGGCGTATCATTTGATTTTTTATTCGAGATTTTTTTGATAACATTATGAATAATAGCAATGGAGCGCCTGAACAGCGAGTAACTTGAGTCATAGTATAAATGTGTATGCCATAGGCGTACATTACTATATAGATACCAGGCTGTAAGCTGTTCCCAGTTCTTTGTTAGATTGTCTTAGTATTTGCTATCACAGTGTATCACAATGTGCGCTCCTCTCCCCATGGGGTTTAGCATTAATCATGTATTTAGTGTCACTTTGTTTATACCAAAATATGTTTAATCATGTTTGTGACGCATTCACCTGTTTTAGAATAATTTTTAAAGTTAAGACTGCTACGGATTTTGATAAGATAGATTAAAAAATTTACAGTGAGTATTTGAGTGTTTTATTTGCGAAGTTGCTCAATTACGATTTCGGTCCCAGACTGGCGACTACTTTAAAAGGTAACCGCATTTATCAAGGGAATCCTGAGATTCAGATAACTGTTGAGTGTAGTTAGTCTGCCCCTGACCTTATGCATGAAAGTAATAGGGAAAAATAATTTACAAAACGTACCTAATTCATGTTTTGAATCAATTTTTTCGACGTCGTCGTTTTCGGGTTTTTAGCTTGCATGTTAGCTTTTACACCCTGCATGTCGTTGAGCACACAGAGAAACATCCGCTATAAGAAGTAAGAGGAGGAAGGATAATAAAGCAAAGGGTAATCAGATTTTACTTTTGCGGAATGTATACTGCTGACGGTGACAAATTAAGAATACGGAATGTCACCTCTCGATATTTATCCCGAGGGTGTCGTATGAGCCGACTAAGGGAGCAAACTACGCAGGACAACAGCACTGCGAAGAGAAGGAAAACTTGACACAAACTCTATACCAACCCGTCTGACCAGCGTGGTATAGCAGGCCACAACCTCCTTTCTAAGAAGAGGCCTATGTCTAGCAGTGGACTATTATAGGCTGTTGAAATACTGCTCACTACCAAACTGCTAAATAATTTGAAAAATTTAACGATCTTTGTGCTATACAATCCGCGAGTTGACAGTTATATTGAAAATAAGTATATACTATAATCAATAGATCTATTGATAGAAAGCTTAAAATAATGTAAATGAAGAAAAGATAATTAAAATATATTTTTTCCTTTGAGAAATGAAGGATTTTTTATCCTTGATTCACGTGATTAGAAACACCAATGAGAGGCCCAAGTGTGAGTTTCATTGTGAGCCAAGCGTGAGGTTTGTGATTTGTAGACAACTGAACTAAACAACTAATTATTGGCATAACATTCAGTTTATATATCCACACACAGGTTTATCGGTGGCCAAAAAAGGCCGCACACATTGTGATCGTGAACGTGGAGAGCCACATTTCATCATAACTTTTTAGTCACTTACAGTATAGGTACTTACGAAAATTCGTATACATTTGAAGGTAGTTACAAGCAATAGAATAACGTTTGAAGTAAGTCTTTAGAGGTCTTATTCAAAGTGTTAGGACGTATTGAAGTGTTTTCATACTTACCTAAATAATTTTTAAACGGTCCATTATTTTTGTTATTTTACTGTCGAACAAATTAAAACTAATCCATAAGAAGTTATGTACAAAAGATGGTTACAATCCGCTTACCCGTTTCAGAGATCCAGCAAACCCACAAACGTTACTCCAGCAGGATCTCGAATAACTTCGCAGCCGAAGAAAATACAAATACCAAATAAGTTGTAACATTTACCAGTCCAGATAACTAATTATTTAGCTAACATTTATTTCAATATTACAATTAAAAAAGAAAATGTCTGGCTGCGGTAACGTTTCAAACGTTACCCCAGCAGGAAATGTTTTTTTGAAATAACTAAAAAAGTTTAAGTGAAACAAATTTAAAAATGTGCTTAACAATTACAGAAGGGGAGCAACTAATTATCTATAACGTTTAAATGACCATTTTCGACATTATTTTGCTGGGGTAACGCACACGATTGGTGCAGATTTCAGTCACAGCGCCGAACGCGGTCTCAGTGAGTCACACTGAAGATGTGTCATAATCGCACAATTTCGACAACTTATTTATCAATCAGACTAACTTTGTTTAAATTGTTTAAAACTGTATTCTTGTGTGATTACTTGTGAATATTTATTTGTAGTCAATCTGGGACAATGACAGAAACTGGTTTTGTCAAAGCACAATCGAATAATCTACCAAAAATAGATGCATTTATGATGTCAGCTGTACAGAATATAGCATAATAACGATAAAATGATCTTCACAACAAAATCCAACCGCTAATGGAAGATACATTATCCCTTCTCATCATCTTACACCATTTTTTTCGTACTTTCGCGTCGCGTGGAATACGAAAAAACACTTTATCGGGTGTACTAATAATAGTATTTTTGCACTTCGGTACCATACAATACTTGTAAGGTTTATTAACTTCTTCCATGATTTGTATAGCAGTTAAAACTGAAAATACGTTTTATTTTTTTCATCATCGTCATCAACAGCCTTTAATAGTCCACTGCTGGGCATAGCCTCTCCTTGGAAAGGGGTTTTGGCCTACTATACCACGCTGGCCAGACGGTTGGTATAGGGTTTGTGTCAAGTTTTCCTTCTCTCTGCAGTGCTGTAGTTCTGCGTAGTTTTTTCCCTTAGTCGGCTCTTACGACACACACGGGATGAATAGGTGTGGTGACACTCTGTATTCTTAATCCGTCACCACACGGACATTTATTTGTTTGTTTTATCAAAATTAAAATACCTGATGGTAGCCAAGCCAGTATCATTGACACGAACGAGGTCACCGTGACGATCGAGTAGAAGTGAAATAAACTTACACTAGGTCCTCAGGTGCCTCGGTGTATGGTAACACCTAAAAGAATTTTAAGTAAAACAAGGGGATTCGTAGGCGGGAATGGGAAAGGGGCGGATGGTTTTGAACAGTTCAAATTCCCGCCTAGAAATCCCATGCACTTTTGATTGAGATTGAACATTGAAGTGAAAATAGTGAAGCTATCTATCAAAAATTAAGACTTGGCTTAAAGGTCTTGTTACCAGGCCATAAAAATACAAAACAAATAAGTAAAACAAGCAAATTCTAAAACTGTAACTTTATTGCCTAAACACCACTCTATTATCCCAACACAATGAAATTTCTTGCACACCAAGCTTGAAGTCGAACAAGGGTTCCATATCACAATGAAAGGTGTTGAAGCCAGTGATGCGATATTTGCGTGAATTTCCACCGTAACATAGAACACTTGATCAGGAATGTCAACATCATAAGTACGCACTATTTGCGGTAAACATTTGAAACAGATTTAATTAATAAATATTATGATACTACATCGGGTTTTTGGCGGGTGAGAAACGTCAATTACTGACAAGCTGTTAAATTCAAATTTCGAATCTGCCATTTTAGAATATCATATTTCGTTCGGATACATACACAATTTTTTTTTAATAGGATATAAGTTGTAATTAAAAAAACATCAAAATGTTTTTTAATCCAGAGCAGCGGCACCAGAGATAATTTCAATAAGTTCTCTGGTGATGACGGCTTGACGGGTCCTGTTGAACGTGAGAGTGAGTTTTTCAATCATCTCTCCAGCGTTCTTGGAGGCGTTGTCCATAGCCGTCATACGAGAAGACTGTTCAGAGCAGGCACCTTCCTTCAGGGCATAGAACAGCATGGAGGAGAGGGAGAACTCCATGTAAGATTGGATCACGTCAGCGTCCAGAGAATCGTACGTTGCCAGCTTTGGGGCAGACTGTAAATAAGTTATTATGAAATATTATTAGCTACAATGTAATTTGATTTTCTAACTTTGTAAACTGACAGAAATTTTGTACAACTAGAAATGTAATAGGAGAAAATGGATCAGATTATAAAAACTTAAAATTGAGTTTACGTCATTCTTCCTCTGAACCTTTTTTCCAAACCAGGTTGGGGTCGGCTTTAAGTCTACTACGATACGGCTGAACTTCGATCAGCCACTAGATCACAACCTAAGTAGGCGTTAGCAAAGTTCTGTAGAAAGACTAATCGGTTTTTTTAGGGCTCCCAACTACCCGTAACGAATTTTGTTTTTTTTTTAGGACAACTTCCGCATTATGAATGTATATTCATAATGCGGAAGTTGTCTGTGTGTCGCGGGGAACTTTACAGACTTTGTGGATTACACAAAGTTTCGTCCCATGTGGCGATCGAACCCACAACACTCAGCGTAGTAGTAAGGCGACGTAGTGACCGCTTAAATCACTACGCCATCCGTACAGTGCCCGAGTAAGTGACCTCTTCGTATTTAGAAAAATGCCTCCCTTAAATTCTTAATGGTTCTTGCGGGAGGTACAGTACCAGTTAATATTTCCAATGTTGAAAGGACAAAGGCAGTTACTGTCATCAACAATTACAGTTTTAATTACCACATTTTTAGAACTTGACTTCTAGTCTTGAGTTCTTCTAGTTTGCATTTAGGCTGTACTGAAGTCGATACCAAGGACAGCTGGCTGTCACAAATGAGTTGTCATTGCTGTCAAAAAGTTAACCTAGTGTAGAAGTTACGCTAGATAATGATACGGCTGTTTAACTAATGAAATAAATTTATAATACGGACCACAATTAAGAAAATATAAAGGAGCGAGGGAGCACACGCGATGACCGCTAATCGTGTACTGAAGGTGTAATTATGATTTATACGTAAAGTAAGCAAATTGCTGAGGTAACATTATTGTTCGGTGTCACCGTACAACCGTCAATAAAATTATGTTCTGTCAAATCACACAATCAATTTTTACATAATGTTCACGATTAATCTAATCGATTTGAATTAAACTTATTGGTACCATTCCTTAAATTAAGTGATTTAAAATAATAATTCCTTTATTACTTCGTCTAATCTGTACAGTCAACATTTATAATAAATAAATTTTTGTTTTTACCTGCTAAATACACCAGTGAGCTTATTCATTAATATCAATGTAAATATTTTTTATGTATGCCAAGTTTTGAAAACGTAGGAATGCGTTTTGTTAACAACGTTTGAACGTTTAGTTATTGCAGCCATAACAATTCTTTGAGAAGAATTTATTTACTTTTAGCAAAGTTCTAAAAATGTGATAATTACATGAAAATAGTTTCGATGACTCGCTTTATAAAGGGTACAAATTTCAAAATCATCCATCAAATATTACTAGGGGTACAGGATCTGCCGTTCTCCTTTGCGGTACAGATTTTACATCATACAGAACAGATTCGTGGTCATCTTACCTCCACAGCCTTTTGACTGAACAACGGCAAGTCTGACTGCTCGTAGGAGACCACAGACTTAAACTTGTTGTATACAATCTTCCCAGAGCCAAACTCATAGCCAGAGTTCAGAATAGCACCAGCGATCTCAGAAGCATCTAAGAAAGTAGGTGGAAGACGGCCAATCTGAAAATAAATTAAAAATATTTAGTTAGGATATGCTACTCTATGAAACTGTCAGCCAGTTTTCTTTATAAAAAAAAAGTAGCAGGCAGGCACCTGATGGTGAGTGGCCGTCGCCCAAAAACACTTGTATCTGAATAGTCACAAGTGCTGGGCTTTGAGGTGGAAGAATGCACTCTATTTGAAGTTTTGAAGACTATCAGTTCACAGGATACAATTATTTCCACAGGTTGTATAAAAATTAAAAAACTCAATTTATAATATTGGTATTGGATACTTATTGCAACAGAAAATTGAATCGGTAATCTGTTAGTCTTAGTAATACTTTACTATTTTACTACGAAAATACCTTTTATGACAGTTGCAAGATCGATAGCTGATAGGCACTGAATTGTGACCGAACTTTTAATACGAGAATTGGACTTTAGGAGACAAGATAGTAAAATTGAATTCATACTGTTGAATCAACAATGTTAATTTGTGCTTGCAACTTAATACTTACTTCATTGGCAACACTGATGATATGCTTATTGTACAGACGCTGCAAGATAGCACGCGACTTGTCACCCACGCAAATAACCTTGATGTTTTCCGCTCCCGGCTCATTCAGACGGGTACGGATTACCTTGGAGACGCCAGTATGCACGGCGCCACAAAGACCTGTGATGGAAATGGGTTAATTGTCCTTTAGACATGACTGTTTTAGTTCAGGCAACTTAGTTTTTTTATCAGATGGTCTCCTCATTCGAAGTTATCATAATATTATAAAGATAATTAGTTAGTTTGTTTGATTGAATGTGCTAGTCTCAAGCACTACTGGTTCCAATTGAATAATTATTTCAGTGTTGTATAGCATATTTATTGAGGAAGGCTACGTAGTATCACGCTACTACCAATAAGAGTCGAACATCAACGAAAACTATAGCAAAAACGTGAAAAAAATTATTCGTTTTGAGACTTTCAGAAGAAGTTGCTTGGGTCAGGCCTAGTTCAAGGTATTTTTGAATTCTTGGATGCAATGCAATACTAAAGTGACAGAACTCCGTGTGGTTTTAGTGGGTATGATTCCGATTACCCCTTCACCATGACCGGTGACCAGTGATGGTTTCCTCAGAAAAAAAGAAGATATTTTTTATGCTTTTCTGTCAAACTTCTGCATTCTTCGAAAATGATTTCGGAAAAGGGTCGTAACTATGTATTATATAATTATTGATATAATGAATATTAATTGGTATATTTAGGTTTATTCCCATTATCATTATAGTAATGAATAGAATATACATTGAGGAAGATTATACGCTAAGTGACACCATTTTAAGGCCCTTAGGAGCGGAGCAGTGACGAAATATACAGATGATACTTTTGGAAACTAAATATGTAGAAGAAAGTGGAAAAATAAACATACCTCTGTCAGAAGTCATAGCAATATACAGTTGCTTGGGTTCATCTTCGGGTGCAGCAACCTGAGGAACAATTCGTTAGAATTTTATATGTATAGATACAATAATATTTATATTTAACTATATATTATGTTCCGTGTGGTGATGAATTAAGAATATGGAGTGTCACTACCCCTACACTACTATTCAACCCATGGGACATCCCTAGAGAGCAAACCACGCAGGACAACAGCACTGCAAAGAGCAGGAAAACTTGACATAAACCCTATACCAACCCGTCCTGCCAGCGTGTTATAGTAGGCATAAACTACCTTTCTATGGACAGGCCTATGTCCATCATTAGACTATCAAAGGTATATGCGGTTTAACATACCTCAGCTCTATCGTAGAATTGAACTGCACCTTCACCGTAAGGACGGGCTGCTTTCAAGTCGCGCTCAGCCCGAGTATACCTGAGAGAAAAAAAAATTTTTATATTGTCATAAATCTCATTATATATCAATGGTATACATATACTTATTTTCCATCATCTAACCATTGTTTGCCAAGTTTTATAGGGTCATTGCAATATGTATATTTTTCCAGCTCATCATCATCAGCCTATTGCAGTCTACTGCTAGACATAGGCCTCTCCAGTTGCACACCACTTAGATTGATTTTATATATAATAAAAATAGTTTTTAGAACACTTAACATACAGTCAGTCTAAAAAGTTAGCAAAAATGTATTGGACTACTGCAGTACCATTTTTTTGATAAGTCCTATAAATAGCTAATATTTCTTATGTTTTACTAACAGATTAACAGTGCAGTATACATACAGATCATAATATTATAGTACAAAAAAAACCATGATTGAACATAGCATTGATTTTATTTACTGGGTCACTACAACCTAGCAAGAACAAGTGAAAACAGTGAAAAAGTTTAAGATTCTTATTTAAAAAAAATGTTTTTTTTTAATAGTAAGTAAAAACACTCACTTTGCAGCCGACACCATCTTCATGGATTGGGTAATTTTCTGAATGTTCTTTACAGACTTCAGGCGCATAGAAATGGCTTTCAAAGTAGCCATGTTCCTGTTCTGCTGGTGGTTGACTACAGCTACCACCTGGGTGCAAACACCCGGTGCCGCACGACCCAACATTTTTCTGGCTCTGTAATGTAAAACACTTAAATCAGATGATAGAAATGCAGGTTATGTCCTTAGATCCAAGTTATGTAAGAGCGTTGCACTAGCCGACATTGAAGCACTGAATGTCTGATTACTGGTACAATTGAACTGATAGCGATAAAGAGGGAATAAGATTAACATTTAATATAAAATTGGAAGTAATTACTAACTTTTATAGGCGTTTTTTGGTCAAAGTCACCACCAGCCGATGGATAATATCGCTGGCTGAAACGTTTAGTATTGGATGACAGAAAAAAAAAGTGGGTGAATATTTGAACGCGTCGTTAAGAAAAAGACTTGATCAAAAATAAATTTAACTTAAGAATTAATCTGCTTTTGTCTTACTGAAAATAAATAATGTGATAATACAATAACTTCTCTGAAACAGTGATAATTTACACGTTAATTAAAAATATGAGTTCAATCATCTTTAATGGAGTTATTGTATTTTTAAGGGTAAATAAGCATTAGTAGTTTATTATATATTATAATATTATAATATATATTAAATATTATAATTTTAATTATTTTATTCTAAAACAAAAAAAATTAACACGGCTAAATCTAAGTTTTAAAGTAGTTCGATCAGGAAAAACATAAACCAAACGCCTTGACAATAATGACAATTGACAGCTGACAGTTAGGGAGGATGGTACCATTACAACCCAACAAAATGAAGAAGTATTATTTTCAATACTGAAGCCATAAAACACATTTTTTCCTTTGTAGTGCTAGTTTGTTTATTTTAATTAATCTGCAGTGTAGTGTTTTACTTACATATAACAAAATGCCTGAACCCGATAAAACAACCCCTGTAAACCCCGAGATTATACCAGAACAGCCAACACGAGAAATTAGTCAAATAGACCACATAAATAAGAAATTGTTGACTTCGCTGTTCAAGAGGATGGACGAAGGCGGTGACTCAACTTTATCGAAAATGCTTGAGGATGATAATAAGACGGAAGATCACGAGTGGGAAGACTAAAAGACTCAAAATGTAGTTTATAAGTTGTAATTAAGCATTCCGATTTAATAAAAAATTGACACCCAGTTTCTTTTGTTTAGTAATGAACCTATTTTTGTGTAATGACGCATCAGTCCCCAGCCATTGTCTTAGGTGGTGACTCAACTGTATATAAAATGCTTGAGGATGATAATAAGACGGAAGATACCGAGTGAGAAGATTAAGACTGAAAAATAATTATAATATTTATTATAATAACTTCACACATCTCACACACGGCCATCTAATTCCAAACTAGGCAGAGCCTGTTCTATGGTAATCAGACTGCTGATGAACATACTTCCATATTTCTAAATACATACATGTAGATAAATTACACCCAGACAGAACAATCATCATGCTCATCACAATTATTTGAATTAAACCCACAATCTCCGGCTTAGCAGTCAAGTATATAAAATGTAGTTTATAAGTTGTAACTAAGCATTCCGATTTAATAAACAGTTGACACCCAATTTCTTTTGTTAGTTAATGAAGCTTCACCATTTCACTTAATCAAATATCTTTTGTCAATACCATTGCATTGCATTCATTTCAACTTTGACAATAAGTTCAGTAAGGAAGTTCTTTTGGTACAGTATGTTTTGAGACATACATACAATATTTTAAAAATGCTTAATTAAGGAAATGATAGAGAACATAAATCTAGGCATAAAAAGACTGTGGGTAATGTTACACTTTTTATTTGAATCCTGATAAGTCAGCAGATGAATGAATAAAATTGTATTCCTTATTCCTTTATTTTCATGTAGATGTAAAGTGCAATTCTGATTATGAATTGCACCTTTGACAGTAGGTACCTATAAATAAAGGATACAGTTGTACTGATTGCAAATAGAGAATACTTTTTTTTAAATATTTTAGAAGGTATTCTATTGAACAGAATGTGTTATTAGTGCATTACTAATTTCAGACATTCTTTTTTAATTGACCATTGGATATATAAATTTGAAAAAATTATGTCTCTTCTAATGGTGGAAAAATAAGGAATGAAAAACACAGTTTTCCAACTAAAATATCATGATTGAGGTGGATTAAAACCAGTGATACTTTTTGTAATTACATTTAAATTGTTTAATATATTACCACATCTTTTTACTTAACTGTACATACTGCAGTATAACTATAATTTATTAATACATATCAAGGCTGAAAAGGAAATAAGTCCTAAGCAACACAGAGACAATTTTATAGCAGGCATTTAAAGTTAAAACAAAAAATTTGACAAAAAGTAGTGCAGCTATGATTTTTACATCATATGAAAGCTGGCAAGATCCTTTATCATCTACTACAAGAAGATTCTCGTTACGTCACATATCTATAAAGTTAGTGTCATTTTCTAATTTTTTAAATAAAATCACAGACAGTATAAATTTACCAATCGACTGGAGAGATATAGTTTGAACTTAGAAAAAGATATCTTAACAGAATTTGAAAAAACTTAATTGTCACAGTTAAGTTACTTGAACTTCATGAAGAAAGAATTCTATTCTGGGCTTCTTTGCTTAACTACAAATTAAGTCAAGGTTTTGTCCTAATTTAATTCTGAGTATCTTGGTATAAAAGGGACTGTATTAAATATATAAAAGGGATTGTATAAAAGTAAAGAAAAACAGCATTTGTGTGCAAATAATGGATTTCAATCAAACTCTTCAAAAAAACTTAATTTTTCACAATCCTGTGTCGCGGGGGATTTTACAGACATACATGACACACAACACCCAGACTCAGAACAACAATTTGTGGATCACACAAAGTCATGTCCCATGTGGGGATCGAACTCACAACACTTAGCGCAGCAGGAAGCGGCGAGGTGACCGCTTAAACCACTACCCCATCCGTGCAGTTACTTACACAGAAAAGTTCTTTTAACAAATTACCTATAGGTATTTTCACCCTGTTATATTGTAGTCTCCTTTGAGCACCTACTCCAGACGCTATAATTTTGGTAAATAAGAACTGTTAAAATGTCTAAATAACTAAGGAAAGGTTTATTAGCTGAAGTGTAAAAGTAAATAATAGGTACAAAATTTACTGGCCAAATTATCTAACCATACAAATATTTATGATACCCGGAAAAAGACACTAAAAGCCAATTTGTTTTAAATATGAAATAAGTAGTTTCTTTAGTACAAATACGGGTAGCAAAAAATATCTAAATGAAATTTCGTAGTGGCCGAAAACTATATAAATTCTTAACCGACATTAAAATTCGTCGTAGAAACTCCTTGCTAAAAGGCCGGCAACGCGCTTGTGACTCCTGAGTTGCAAGCGTTCATGGGCGACGGTAGTCACTTTTCATCAGGTTGTCCTTTCCTTCTGCTAGTGCCCCCTCTTCCATAAAAAAGAGAAGCTTGAAAGTAGGACCATTTGACACAGAAAAAACAATCCATTCCTAGTGATAAAGGTAATCACGCTCGCCCTAACTGTCGCTTAGGACTTTTTTCTTTCCAGGGTCGATATATATACTTTAAACATGTTTTAAAGATTTAGGAGTATTCTAAAACATGCAAGCGCTTTCGACGTTGCGGTTGGTAAAGATTTCAGATTGCCAGAGGGTATTTCTGTTAATCTATACAAATAAATAAAATTGGAGTGTCTGTTTGGAATATTAAAATAACCGCTTTTTACTAAATGCATAATGTATGTTTACACGGTACATATGCCAAAATATCATTTTTTACAATTTTCTGTCTGTCTGCTGTTTGTTCCGGGTAATCTCTGAAACGGCTGGACCGATTTCGACGGGACTTTCACTGGCAGATAGCTGATAACATAAGGAGTAACTTAGGCTACTTTTTTTTAGACTAGCTTCGCCCCGCGGCGTTCCCGCGGTTATAACAACAGACGCGGGTCTCAGCTAATGTGAAATAAACCTGCACTAGGCTATCATTGCGGGCCAAAGACTGTGTTCACGTTGAGGTCAAACTGTCAAATCTATCAAAGTAGTCTTCAAAGTAGTCAAAACTGTCAAATCTATCAGAGGTATCTGTCAAAGTAGTCTGGCTAAAATAATCTCTGTTAAACATCACCCTTTGCCTTTGCGTTCAGACAGCGCAAGAAATGGCTTGGATGAAACAAATCATGCATTTTTGAGAAAGCACCTGATTTCGGTAATTGGTTTGATACATACATATGAGGGACAAATGCAAGTTTATTGCACAACAACTCGCTGGTCACGTTGACCGCTGAATTTCCCACCAATCGCAACGTTAAACGCGCGCGCCATCAAGAGAGAGTAGATGTAAAATAAACGCCCACTTGGGCCTCAGTTTAGGCTTTATTATCGTACAGAGTAGTAGGCAGAGTCGAGAACGTTATTTGCTACGATCCTGACATACACATTTCTTTTTCATCAGACCTTATCATATGCATTAATTTACAGAGTTTTATTAAATACCATGTGTGTAAATAATCATCATCATCAACAGCCTTTAATAGTCCACTGCTGGACATAAGCCTCTCCTTAGAAAGGAGGTTATGGCCTACTATACCACGCTGGCCAGACGAGTTGGTATAGGGTTTGTGTCAAGTTTTCCTTCTCTCTGCAGTGCTGTTGTCCTGCTTAAATAATACACAGAACAAATGATCGTCATCTACAATATTTGATTTATTTATTACAAACTATGGAGGATTTACAGCTATGATGATCACAATAAAAGCAGTAAAGAAAACAGATAGCCAATTACAATTCCTCACTTATATAAACCAGAGATAAGTTACAGTGCACAAGACAATACAGAATATTAACAAGAGGTATTATGTAAGTTACAGGCACAGATCACTTACACATTACACAGAACGTAATAATATACACACAAAATAGACAGGACCCATAACAATAACTACTCAGACCCCTCACCATCACCCCTGAAGAATTAAGGCTTAAACGCCTCCTCGCTCCCGTTACACTAACATTAAAAATATCAATTCCAAATTGTTCACACATTATTGAGGCTTCTAGTTGACGACGACGAATAACAAAACATTTTTTTCTATAGTTCGTCAGTGCAAATGGTACATTCAGCGGGGGTTATAGCGAGTTCTTGACGGAATATTAATAGTAAACTTAGATAAATGTTCACAGCAGTCAAGTTTCTAGTTTCTAGTTTCAAACTAAGCAGAGCTTGTACTATGAAAGCTAGATTGACTGATAGAATAATCATACACTTTTATTTTGTAAATACATGAATATTATACATAGAAAACACCCATACCCCGAAACAAATATTTGCAGATCATACAAACAGTTGGTCCGACCCGGGAATTAAACCCGAGACCTCATCACATCACTTGCATACGCTACCACTACACCACCGAAGCAGTCAAAAATTTTTATTTGTATACAGGTTCTGTTGCATATCCAAAAATAGCACTGGGTGTAATCCTGTCAATAATTCAGAGGTTTGTTAAATGAAACACCAAAAAACAGTAACTTGAATAATATTTTATTATGTACTACACACATGTATTCAATGAGGAATGTTCTTATTTACATAGCTTTGCAGTGATGTTATCAACGTTTTTATGATACAATGTTACGCTCAAACACCTACGCAACATAATACTGAACTTAAATATTGTTTCGTTACCAACGTTTCAACAAAACATCAAACCTAAGCTTTATAAAGATTATTGCAACAATTTTTTTTTCACATATATTTTGCTCAATTCAAAATGGCATCTTACTATAAATAACATAATTACATAAATTATACAAACATCTATATATCAACAATCTGTTGCATACGCAAAATATTTGATTTTAAACTTTTCACAAAAAAAGGGAATTCAAAAATTTTTACATATACAAAAATATGTATTTATTTGTTTTGAACGGCTGAAAAGATATTGTCTATTTAATAAAATAATTGTACGATGAAGTTCATTCTATTGCTTGTGACCAAATTACATATGTTGGTCGCACAGGATTAATTACCTGGTAACATTACCTGAAAAAAAAAAGAATTTTAGTTGGATAGAAAACGAACACTACAAGTTCAGAAGGCCAAATTATCGTAATGAAAGGTCGGTCAAAATTTAGTACGTAGTAGAATAGTATAGTATTACTAAGACTAGTAGAATACCGATTAAATTTTAAATTACAATACAATATAATTACATTACAGTCAACATTTGATGTTCAATACTTTACTACGAGAATATCTTTTATGACAGACAGACAGTGAGGTCGAGAGTTAATCGGAACTGAAATTTGAACAAACTTTTATTACGAGAATTGCCCTTCAGATGTCGTTATGAAAAATGAAATTATACTAAGAATTAGTAAGTGAATTTAATATTATCATATCGTCTATTATAGCAACGTTCTCATTGTCTTCATTGACAAAAAATATTGGCATATTACAATTTAAAATGACAAACAATTTTATATTCATTTGGAGCTCTGTTCTTTCTATAAACTTGTGCTTTTTTGCTGTGGCAACACCATATACGGACAAAGCGACTAACGCCATCTAGTGTGTCCAAATTGAACTATATCCTTACCTAATTAATGGGGTGCACGTAGCTTGTGTCACTTTAGTTCGCCTTCTCGATCATATCGATGTTGACCTTGTAGAATACGTACGGGTAGTACTCTGATGAACCGAAACCGAGGCCGGCCATCTCTGCGTTCTGTCAATATTAAAAATGTAAGTTAACATTTATTTTTTAATAATTTTTGTAGAGCAGACGTGTCACCTGATGGTGAGTGTCTGTTGGTAAACTCACTTATTCAGTAAAATCAATAAATAAATAATTTAATATCGGTTTTCTGTAAGGCCAGTTTATCATATCAGTCTAGCCGGCCCATTTGTTTTACATTTACTTCATGATGTAATAAAAGTGCTGTCTATTATGGATATTTGCTAAAGTCCATTTACTCTAAAAGGTAGGGTTTGACAGATTGAAGATAGGGATGTGGTAAAAAAATCGATTTTTAATGGATATTTTAGTTGTACAGATTTATGTTTGTTACTGTAAAAGCCCGTGTACTGGCATATCTTGGGTTTTACTAGTAAATCTTAGTATACACTAAACTTGGACACGAGCGATATTGCCTACAAAGATTCTATTAAAATCACAATAATTAAAATACTTTTCATTTTAAGTATGCGTTTTCGTTGGCAGTTGGATCTCAGCTGAAATTTAAGTATTATTGAACACTAAACAACGCTTGGATTGAAAATAGTTTGTTATTCATAAATTCGATTATTCATATACAAGTGAATTTGAATTGTCGCAACACTTACCGTAAAGGATCTAATTTTAAAACGAAGTAAAAAAAAGCAATCTATTGTATATATTGGTTATTTTGCTTTGCTTAAAAAAAATTAAATTTAGTCATTAAGAATTGTACTAAAGTACCTTGTAATAAAGTAAAAGTAACTTCATAATTCATGGTTTTACGGCAAAGTTTATCGAAACATGTGCTACGCTCAAAAGTAGTTTCGGTTTGAAAAGTATGAAACGTCAAACGGTACTTCTTAGTTTAGATGGTGTGTGGACAGGATATTGGGTGTGTTGTTTGTATTTCGAATTTACTCCTTAAGAATCCATTTTTACATAAGGCACAAACATATGAAGAGTAAAATTTTGTGATCGAATGACCTCGTCACGTTTTGTGTGCGTGTATAATTTGTATACTTGTGTGCAACCGAATCGTTCTTAAGGAGTAAACTCTAGTCGTGCGTCGGAGCCGACGCATACGTTTTTTATTAAAGTTTTGAAAAGTGTGGTTTTGAGTGTAGCGATGGACGGTTCAGCGTGCGCTACGTACGTCCTGCGCGGCGGTGGCGTGGTGGTGCGCGGAGTGGTCGAGGTGCGCGTAGAGCCCCTGCAGCACGTCGCGCAGGCGCTTGGCGCCCTTGCGCGCCGGCACCATCACCACCGCCTGGAAGTTCACCGGCAGCCCGTATCTGCGGAATTCGGAACTCTCATATTTATGTTTTGGCTTTTGCCCGTGACTCTGCCCGCGTGTATCGCGGTTTAAAAAGTGGCCTATGTCCTTCCTCGAGAGTCTAAGTATCTCCATATCAAAATTCATAAGTATCGGTTAAGCGGTTTAGCCGTGAAAGCGTAACAGACAGAAATACTTTCACTTTAGAATATTAGTGGGAATTTATAACTTTTCGCCCTCATCGAGGAGGAACCAGTTTTCAACGAGATCCTAGAGTGCCAGGGAGTGGTCAGACGAAAACAGAAGTTCTAGTACCAGTTATTTTACATCAACTCGATTGTCAGCAACGACCGCCGAGTTCATTGCGATTGTCCCGCACTGAACTCTTGACTAGTTCCCCAGACCCCTTAAAAATAATAATATTATTAAAAAATTCTATACGTCTTTTAATCGTTAAATATCTATTTTAAATAGAACAGTTTTCAGAAAAAAAAGAGGATCTATTTTCTACTACTAATAATAATAAACTAATTAATAATACTAAACTTATTACAAAATGTTTAGCTACCTTAGAACCGACTCAACGAATACACGGAGAGCTTTAACATGAATCCAGGCGCAGAAGCACTCCGAGAAGTTCACCTTCAACCATCGCACCAAAGGACCCTGGTGATGAAAAAATAGTTTAGTTCTGATATGGATTGTTGAAGACCGGATATAGAAATATCAACTTTTAGTTAGGATACGAGTTTGCACCAGATGTAGCTATGTTGTAGTTCGGATATACATAGCGCTAGGTGTAGATCGAATATAGTTGTCGCTAGTTGTGGCTTGGATATAGTTGGCGCTAGTTGTATTTCGAATATAGATGTCGCTAGTTGTAGTTCGGATATAGTTGGCGCTAGTTGTAGGCCGGATATATTTGGCGCTAGTTGTATTTCCAATATAGATGTCGCTAGTTGTGGCTCGGATATAGTTGGTGCTAGTTGTCTTTTGAATGTAGATGTCGCTAGTTGTAGTTCGGATATAGTTGGCGCTAGTTGTAGGCCGGATATATTTGGCGCTAGTTGTAGGCCGGATATATTTGGCGCTAGTTGTATTTCCAATATAGATGTCGCTAGTTATAGTTCGGATATAGTTGGGGCTAGTTGTAATTCGAATATAGATGTCGTTAATTGTAGTTCGGATATAGATGTAGCAAGCTGTAGTTCAGATATTAATCTAAGATCCTAAGATTCTAAGGTATACTTACGAACTGCTTCTTCTTGTCAGTGACAAGTTTGGTGATCTCGTTCTTGCCGGCGGCGAGGTCGGCCTCGTTGTAAGAGAACTCACGGACTACGAACTTGCGTTCACGAGCGTGGTGTTTGAATTCATCAGCCACCTACAGTAAAACCAAGTTTATGAAATATATTCTTTATGGTATAGGGGGCAGCCGGCATCGAGCTTGTGACTCCTGAGCTGCAGGCGTTCATGGGCGGTGGTAGTTGCTTTTCATCAGGTGACCGGTCTGCTCGTTTGCTCCCTATTCCATAAAATGGTAAGTGGCGAGTGCTGCACATGGACACAAATCGGTGAGAATACACTCAAGAGTCACGAGTGTATTCTCACCGATTTAGTCTCCTCCCAAGTTGCGGGGGAAGGGGAAGGCAGGGGGGAGGGGTTGGGAACGGGGGGTTCGGTAACCGCACTCAGTTGATGAAAAGCAAGGCCGTGGGAGCACTCCGGTCAAGCCTGGAGCATGGCACTCTTTAGTATGACAACACTTTATATGATTCAATACAGGTTTCAAATCAAATCAAATCAAATCAAATCTTTATTTGCCAACCAAGTGTACATCAATGATCTTATAATATTATATGTAGTAGTCCCAACTTAGAAGCCTTTTCCAGGCATTGCAAAAATTTGAGCGAGAACGCAGAAGAATAAATTGTTACACAAGTACAAGCATTTTTTGAACAATACAAATTAAGTGACTCAATAGTACAGTATAACAATCGAACAAAGCATGCAAAAATACGAAGGCACCCGACATTCTACATCACCAATACACATACACATTTTCCTACTGTCCCTAGCATTTCCGTGCATCACGACCGATTTTTCTTTTTATGATTTGTACTTAGGTATATGCTTTCTGTTTTCCGTGTAATAAGAAATGTAGTTTGTTAAGTGTTTTTTTCCTCAATGTATTCTTTAACAGAATAGAAACATTTTGTAATTAAGAATGCTTTTAGTTTTTTAATGAATAGTGTAGTCTTCGTTTCATTTTTTATGTGGATAGGTAATTTGTTGTATATTTTTACAGCCATGTAGTAAGGGCTCTGGTGTAGCATTTTAATTCTTGATGGTGGTAGGTATAGTCTGTCTCTGTGGCGTGTGTTTAAATTGTGATTGTCTTTTACTCTCGCGAAGTGACTCATGTTCTTGGATACAAATATGCAGATGTCAAATATGTATAATGATGGTAGTGTGAGGATGTTATATTTAATGAAGAAGGGCCTACAACTATCACGATTTCCAATTTGTCCGATAATTCTAATACATTTCTTTTGCAATATAAATAAATCCTGAAAGTGTACACTGTTTCCCCACAACATAATGCCGTATCGTAACCAGGAGTATGCGTATGCGTAGTATGCTGACAGTGCGGTTTTTTCGTTTGTGCTGCATTTAAGTTGGAATAGAGCATATGTAAATCGAGACAGTTTATTTTTTGTATGTTCGATGTGTGCTTTCCAGTTGATGTGTGTGTCTATAGTTATACCAAGTAATTTGAATGTATCTACAGTTTCTAGTTGTGTGCCATTGTATGTTGTGTCGATGTTTACGGGGGTGTTTCTGTATGTTCTAAATTGGATAGTTTTTGTTTTGTTATAGTTAATTTCTAAGTTATGGTCGTTGAGCCAGTTATTTACTGTATCTAGAGTTTCCTGAAGTAGTGGTGTCGGCTTTGTGGTTTTGTCATAAGTAATTAGTATTGATATATCATCAGCAAATAAGACAGGTAATGTATGTTCCTTGTTTAGTACTTTTGGTAAGTCGTTGATGTATATCAGAAAAAGCACACAACCCAACACGCTGCCCTGCGGGATTGAACGCTTTATGTTCCTTTTGTTTACTACCAATAAGGACCAATCAAACATTTTTATTCTGGCAACTTTGTTACTACAATGTAAAATTCCATAGACTAAGTATATTTTTTAGATGCCTATGTGTATTTATTGATAAGCTACTAGACATAGAAATTATTGCTAATTTTAAATCATATTCATATGATGAAATGATTAGCTGTTGTCACAGTTATTTCAACTGATATTATGATTTGGTCATAGAGAAAGATAAATGCCATTAATCAATCAAAATTATTTGTATCAATGATGAAGTGGCAGTGGTATTGAAATTTAGTTACAGGTGTGATTATATGATTCATAAATCATATGATATATCACAAGTGATTGTGATTTTATACCATCCCAATAAGCTACTAACCTTCTTGAAGAGAGTGACGGTGAACAGTCCATAGTCATTGTCTTGGTAGATGAGCTGCGTAGAGCGAGGAACGATCATGTCGGTAATCTTCTCGTAATTAGCGTTCCAGTCGTTGAACATTGACCTGCACCGAGCACAAAGCTGAGTTAGAGAGAGATAGAGAATGATTTATCGCTCATATTGACGTGACAACGTCTTATAATTCGATGGAGCCGGCTGCACGCACGAACAAACATGACTCATGCGGCGTTACCTCGCTCTGAGGCGTTCCATTTAAGGCGTGAAGTGCAAGCGAGAGCGCGGAACGAGTGACAAAGAGGCACAATCGGCCCCCGCGTTCGGCAGCGTTCCACATCTGTCTCTCTCCTACTTGAGTGAGCGATGCGTCCGCGTGGACAGCTGCTACTCGTATACAATAATACATTTTTGAAAAAATGCAACCATTCCATCAGTATCTTCTTATGACGTTGTCAATTTTTTTTTAGATTTTGGCTAGGTTTTATTTGTAATTGAGGGGTTGTTATGCGTATAACACTACTCTTTTTTTTTTTGTTGACGGAGGACCCGGGCCATGTTATTTCAGGTCCCCCAGATCGACGCCGCACCTAACTAGGCCCCATTTCAGGGAAAGCCAGTGGCTTTCTGCCATCCTATCCCCTACCGCAGCAATTAACCTGCCACCAGAGGTCCCCACTCTCTGGCGGCTCGCGGTCCCGTCGGGTGCTCATTCCGCCGCCGACGTCTTTTTCGTTAGGGATCGGCCCTCTCCCGATCCCGTTCGGCGGTCTCTTTCTGGAGCATTACAGCTTTACAGAAAGGTATAACACTACCCTATATATTTTGTAATGAAGAAAATGTTTCTATATATAGCTTAAAATAAAGAATTTAAATTATTTGAAATTGTATATTCAATTATATAAGCATAAAAAATAACACTGAGTACAAAAAAAAGGTTATGCATCTACGTATGGGGAGCTAATGAAATATTCTACATCGCGCTATAAACTTTCACACGATGATCTGTCTATGTTTTGTATGATTAATTCTGCTAAACAGTTGCCATAACATAGTCTGGCTCAAGGACCCACCTTTTGTGCTGAAGTATACCAACTCGTTTTGCCTTACATTCACTACCAACTCCACATAGAGTTTACTGACTCTAGCATTCTCTCTTTTCCTCTCTTTTACCTTCTCTTATATCTATACTAATATTATAAAGCTGGAGTTTGTTTGTTTATTTGTTTGAACGCGCTAATCTCAGAAACGGTCCGATTTGAAAAAATCTTTCAATGTTAAATAGCCCATTTAACGAGGAAGGCTATAGGCTATATATCATCACGCTAAGACCAACAGGAGCGGAGCACCAATGAAGAATGTTGCAAAATCGGGGATTTTTTTTTCCTTTTAAAAGACGCAGACGAAGTCGCGTGAGTCAGCTAGTTATACATAAAAAAATGTGTACTCACTTAGGTACGATGACAAGGAGTGTGGTGAGATATTCACTGTCAAGGATGAAGTGCTCCTTCTTCACCAAGTCCGCCAGGTTGCGGGTCAATAAACTGCCGCTGTAATGCAGACGAAAAACAAATTATATAGTATGTATATATACGTGAATATATTATGACATTTACTTAAGGAACGTATGTTATGTATGAGTATTCATTCCTAACGTAAATTACCTTATTTTTTTTAAAGACAACTCCCGTATTAGAAATGTATCCTGTGTGGCGGGGGGCTTTATGCATGAAACGGACACAAAGAACACCCAGACTCAGAACAACAATTTATGGATCACACAAATTGTCGTCCCATGTGGAAATCGGACCCACAAGTCTCAAGACCTCAGCGTAGTAGTAAGCAGTAACCAAGGAGGTATATTCATCATCATCATCATGAAGAAGAAGAATAATAATACCATGTTTGTTATTCCACTTAAGTTCTTTTGCTTTTCACCGGGTGAGTAAGAATACAAGAGGTTCAACAACCCCCCCATGCATTTGTTTGTATCTCTATCTCTCTCTCTCTCTCTCTCTCTTTCTCTTTATTACAAGTGTCCAGGCGGCGCTAGTCAGTTACCACCAGACTCGTATACCCCTATTAGATAAAAATATGGGATTAGGTAAAGAAGCTGATAATTATGTGAGCTGCCTCGGTGGCGCAGTGGTAATTTATGCGCCTGCTGTGCTGAGGTCTAGGGTTCGATTCCTGGGTCGAACCAAATATTTGTATGATCTGCAAATATTTCTTTTGGAGTTTGGGTGTTTTCTATGTATCTTATATATAAAATTCTCGTGTCACAATGTTCGTTCCCGTACTCCTCCGAAACGGCTTGACCGATTCTCATGAAATTTTGTGTGCACATCGGATAGGTCTGAGAATCGGCCAACATCTATTTTTCATACCCCTAAATGGTAAGGGTGACCCATCCCTAATTTTTTTATTTACACAGAGTATGTATTTACACAGAAAACGTTTATAAGTATTCTATCAGTCAATCTAGCTTTCATAGTACAAGCTCTGCTTAGTTTGAAACTAGATTCCGTTGTGTATCGGATGTCCGAAATATTAAATATTACTTACGTTTGTTTCTTCTCCAAGTTCTGTAGATTGCCCTTGAGTGCATTGTAGGCGGACGATTTCACTTTCAGATCCGCGTCGATCTGCCCCACCTGCGGACAAATTTTTTTTTAAAGGTAAAAAAATAATCTAAAAATAATTAATGTTTAAGTTTAAAAAAGAACATTCGTTTTCTGAAGCTAATTTTAAGTACTGTTAATGGAATGGAATTTAAAGTACTGTTTAAAATGTCTGTTTTTATTGAATCAAATTTAGTTAAATTTTCAACTGAAGGCAATAATTTTTAAAAGATTTATTACATACTAGCTGACCCTGCAAACTTTGTTTTGCTATTGATATTATTATTATTATTTTTTTTTTATTTCTTAAAATCCGTTCTTAGCTGACCTCTACTCGGTGAAAAGAATATTCCTACCAAATTTCAAGTCTTTAGCTCTAATGGTTCTAGAGATATCGTCATGAGTGACTAGATACGTGGAAAACTCTTATATATATATATATAGATTATTGCAACAAGCACATTCTGCATTATATATATATATAAATATATATATATATATATATATACGTCACTATTTTATGCAGCTTACCTGTTTACTAATGATATCGGCGATGTTACGCAGACTTTGCTTGATGGGGTATTTCGCCATGTCCCATTGGAAACGAGTTAGGTAAGATGGCAGATCGCCTGCAAGACAATATGTACAAGTTAGAAATTTAAAAAAATCAAACACTGTTTTAAAATGTTTTCTTTTGTTTTATTTATGAGATTCAATTATTGTAAATTGAATTGTTTACGTTTATTAAATTTTACAAAACGTAAAGATTACGTTACTTTTGATTAGAGTTGTGAATTTAAATTTTTATATATTTTTTTTATAACGACAGGGAGCACAATGATCTAGATGCGGGCCTTAAATATAAAATAACATTTAACAATTACTTTTACACTAAAAACTTGTAAAGTGCTTAACATAAAAACGAAAAAAAAAACAAAATATAAGCATTGATTTATTTTAAAAAAATCTAGCTTCTGTGCTCATTTGTAAACAGAGACTAAGAAACATTCATAGCATGGGTTCATTGGGTCGCATGCACCTAAATCATACACGACAACATGCTACAGTTTACCCGTATTTGAAAATAGAAGACATAAAATATAATATTAATAATCTATTATCCCCGCAAATTGCTTATGCGCCTGGCCGCCATTTTGGTGACGTATTTTGTTGACATTGACATTAGACACTCTGTACCGTTAGCATTATTCTGGCTGATGCGAATTGCGAGGGACGAGTACCTACGCGTTTTTGTTTTTTTTTTTTTTTCTTTTAAATTGAATCAAAATCTAACCTAATTATATTATTAATATAGTTATATTACTAATAAGTCTTTTCTAATAAACATTGAAAATCACACAAACATTTTTCATTTCTTAGATAGATACCTATTTCCAAGGTGTGAGATTAATTAAATGTCATCAAATATCAGTTTTTTCGTAAAATGTAATCTTACAATAAATGTCATTTCAAATCTGTCAAACTTAATAATTAACCTATTAAATTTACAATTGCATTTCTTTTTTAGCAAGCTGTACTTTTCTATTTTGGATGACGTCACGTGGCTCTTAATGTGACAAAGTTCCTGCGCATTAGCAATTTGCGAGTATAATACGTCATCATAAATAAAAAACGAGCGCGCCTCAGTGGCCGCATTCGATTTGTAACATCGTAACATCTCTCCTCCTATTGGACGGCTAACTCTAGCACCGAGCGAGCGCTCATTGGTCAAATCAAATACGCGCGCTATTGGTCAAAGCAAATAAGCGCGCTTAATCGTCTTTATGTTACGAATTCGATTGACGCAAAATGTAAGATAATGAACGAGGGGAAGATATTGGACACGAAAAAAAAAACAAAAAATATTTTCAAATACGAGTTTAAATAACGAAAAGAACTACATTATCTTAACGTTTCATTTTTAGAATAAACACACATGCACATATAAAATTACATACGAATAAAATACGTTTCATAATCATTATTTTCATAAGTATAGACATGTAACCATAACAATAATAAAAAACTATATGTATATAAATATTAAAAAAAAAAAAAAATTTTTACGACATTCCTAAAAAAAAGTTTAAACTCTTTAATTTGCTTATAATATATAAGCAAATTAAAGAGTTTAAACTTTTTTTGATATAAGATATAAGATTTTTGATATAAGAGGGTTTTTTTTGTTTTTAATGCATGCACGTTCATCATTACGATTTTATTACGAAATGTAACTAAAAAAATTAAAACAGTTACCTGGTCGTAAACATTTAGCTTTAAATATTAATTAGGTACAACTAATATATACACTGATTGTCAAACTTGTCACTAAAAAAACGATCTATTTGTAATTTGTAAAAATGTATAAGTCTACTTTGCTTCAAATTCATTCATGTTTATAACGGGTGTCCCAAGAAGAACGCAATTTTTAAATTTTAAATAAAACACAGATATGTAAAAAAAAAATCGTGAAACTTTATTATATCGTAAAGTAGACAGAATGAGGTTATGTATTGAACAATATATCGTGCAGATGGCCGCCGCGGCTTTGCTGGCATGCACGCGATCTTTTAATGAAATTTTCAATGACCGTTTTGCATGAATGCTGCGGTATTTCATTAATGCAGCGTCCAATTTCCTCTTTTGAGGCTTGAGTCGTCGTCGGCTTATTCGCGTAAACCATCGACTTCAAAAAACCCCAAAAGAAAAAAATCTAATGGTGTTAAATCGCACGATCTAGGCGGCCAATTCTGATCTCCAAAACGCGAAATAACACGACCGGGAAATGACTGATGCAGCAATTGAATTGTTTCTCTGGCTGTATGACATATGGCGCCGTCTTGTTGGAACCACATACCCTCCACATTCATTTCTTCAATTCTAGGCACTCACTTCACTTCTAGGCACTCGTCACTGAAGATGATTTTATCGGCAAAATCAGCATTTTCATGTTGTCTCTCCAATACCCAATTAACGAACAGTCAATGGTGTTCGGTATCGTGAAATGATAACCAGTTTTTTCTTGCCTAGAATTGAAGAAATGAATGTGGAGGGCATGTGGTTCCAACAAGACGGCGCCACATGTCATACAGCCAGAGAAACAATTCAATTGCTGCATCAGTCATTGCCCGGTCGTGTTATTTCGCGTTTTGGAGATCAGAATTGGCCGCCTAAATCGTGCGATTTAACACCATAAGATTTTTTTCTTTGGGGTTTTTTGAAGTCGATGGTTTACGCGAATAAGCCGACGACGACTCAAGCCTTAAAAGAGAAAATTGGACGCTGCATTAATGAAATACCGCAGCATTCATGCAAAACGGTCATTGAAAATTTCATTAAAAGATCGCGTGCATGCCAGCAAAGCCGCGGCGGCCATCTGCACGATATATTGTTCCATTCATAACCTCATTCTGTCTACTTTACGATATAATAAAGTTACACGATTTTTTTTTACATATCTGTGTTTTATTTAAAATTTAAAAATTGCGTTCTTCTTGGGACACCCGTTATTAGAACAAGTATTCCTTGTGTAATTCAGAGTAAAAACATTCTTAACGACATAAAATAAGCGTCTGATCAGGGCCATACGTAGTATTTAGAGTACCGTAGAATATATAGATAAACAAAAAAAATGCGAAAGCTTACTGGCATTATATAAGAATAATTAATAGTAACTATAATTATAAATCTGAAGGTCAATTCTCGTAATAAAAGTTCGGTCTCAATTCAGTTCCGATCAAGTTTCGATCTCATGACTGTCATAAAAGGTATTTTCGTAATAAAGTATTAAACATCAAACGTTAACTTTAACGTGATTATATTGTGTGATCGAGGATTGAATCGGTAATCCACTGGTTTAAGTAGTACTTTACTACGAAAATACCTTTTATGACAGTTTTAAGATCGAAAGTTGATCGGAACTGAATTGTGAATGAACTTTTATTACGAGAATTAGTCTTCTGGTTAAATACATCCACAGAGTAGCAATAATTACACGACCACGTATCATAATTTATAAAAAAAAGTTAAGTTGTAGTAAAGATAATAATCTTACAGGAGCTTTACATTAGTTAAAGAATAGAAGAATAAAAAAGACTTTTGATTGATTGCAACATATCCAAACATGCTTATTAGAAATAAGCAATATTTACTCTTACAGTTAGAAATTAATGCAAATGATATCTCATAGATGGTTTACAAATCCATTTTCAGCTGTCGTCAATGTAGCTTGGAATTTAAATAGGTATGATATTATAATACCTAATGCGCTTTCAAAGCAACAATGGCCAATATAAATTGGCGTCCAATTTCACGTTTGAGCGATAACACGCCAAGGTCGTCCTGATTTGTAATAAATTTCTATTAATGGTACACACAATAGCTTTTATAAGCGACTTTGTCATGTTTGTAGATAAAACCTCAAAATGTAGTGTACGATTATTGTAGATTAACCTTTTACGAGGACATAAAGGACAAAAAAAGCAAAATAAAATACAACAACAATATTAAATTAAACATCTAAACAGAAAAAAACTTATATAGCTATAAAACACATTCACTTGTGTATAAAGCGTTCTACTGGGTAATTTGTGAAATTTTCCATTTTGCAATAGTGAATTCCACAAATTGCCTGGTTATTTGTAAACTACACATTTTACACGTATGTTAAATCGCTTACACTTGCGTTGCAGTTTGTGACGTACATTTTGTGTGATTCCATACCTAGCCATTTTTCGTAGCGTCACCCTAAACTTTATTTGGAAATGTTTTAATTCGTTAGACACAATGGACAAGAAAATTTACAAAAAAAATTCAGGATGGCGCTCGCAATATACAAAAACGGCCAGCGCCATCTGCTGTTTTATATTTAGAACAAAGGAATTTATAAAACTGTTATAGACAGAGTAGGAAACAGAGTATGAGAAAAACATAACAATCACTGCCATCACACCTAAGGATTTGCATTGCAGTTAGCGCTGTACGTGAACGAAGAACAATATAGAATTGTAAAACTTCGTTTCGTAGTAGGAGTTTAAAGGGCCTACTGGGAGTAAAGTTTGAATAGAACTTGACTCCTCGACTCAAGATATTAATTAAGAATAGTACCGAAGCTTCAAGTTCCGTCCAAATCTAGGAGTTACTGGTTAGGCGAGGGTTAGGACTCCTAAACCTTGAGTAAGAACGTGGTGGTGGCGTTCCTCTTCCTCGTCATCGTCCCACCGCGGGGAGCTGCGCCCGCTTGACGGTTGCGACGCCTCGTATTCAGAGTGCTCTCGATGCTCGCAAGGCCAACAGCCGTGGTGCTCAGAGAACGCCGAGTCACACACCGGCGATGTAGGTGTGGGAGGCGGCTCGCCTCCACCCGGATCCGCGTATGATTCAATGCCTAAAGTCGCCACAGTCGGATCTCGTCAAAGCCATTTATCAAATCCCCCTTACGTCTACTGCGACGAATACAGTTGTACATGTATTATTGTTTCGATTCGAAATAACGTAAACCTTTTATATTCATGGTGTCTGTCTGATTCTTGTCTATTTTATGGCGATTGTGAAGTCTTTCTATAAAACTATCTGAATTGATCAACAAGTGTTGTATTAACGCCTCGGTAAAAGTGGGATTAAATAATATAGGATTTAAATAGGTACAGGATGGGAGCAAAAGAATATATTTATATAAAAAATAATATAAATAAACTAAATAATAATAGTAAATTAAGAAGCGCAAAGCATAGAGATTTTTAAAGCTTGATTTAGCTAAGCTATGAATGTCTTGTGAGGCAGTGATTGCTATTATCAATGGTATGAAGACATTGTATTAAATATTGGGTAATTATTACATATTACAACAAATTTGTGCGACATAATTACAACATCCTAACAATTTGTCTTTAAAATAAGCATTATAAGGCTTCATTCAAGAAGGTATGCAATGGATATGACATTTCACTAACTTTTTTAATCATCTTTTGATGAAAGTAAATACTATCTGTAAATATAAAAAAATGATCTATATCTATTTTTGTAGTGGTAGTAAATTCCATCTTCAAAAAGCAAAAAAAAAACCTTTTTTTTTAAACGAGCCTACAAATAAACCGACCTTATAAGGAAATTACCATATGGATACTGAGATCATTTTGAATAACTAATTATAAAAATTACAGGCGCCACATAATTTTACATAACTTTGTGGAAGAAGGAGGTGGCCTGGCAGATCGCGGAACACCAGCAACCATGTATGCTGCATTTATGTTAAACGGTGCGAGAACTTTCATTGCGCGATGCAGGATTAGTAGTTACAGTTCGATGTATCTTCGTTAGATGGCACTGAAGTATGTCTCCGATTCGTTATATATGGCAGTCGCAATAAATTAAAGAAATTAGACGCTAACAAAATACTGTCGTTATGTAGGTTTCATATCCATTACATATCATCTTAACAAATCATATCATATTTCGTAACATATCGATTTCAAGTCACAGTTTCGCTAAGATAAACTCATTTTATCTAGATCCTTCTGAACGACATTGAAATAGTGATGTAACACTTCATTCATAAGTCGATTTTTTCGACAGAAGATGGCTTAAACATTAATAGAATAAATAATAAATTGTTATCGTTGGTCATAATGATAATCAAAACTATAGAGGTAAAAAAATACAAAACAAAATCGCTGTTTTCTATATTACATCTATCTTATGAATAAAAATTGTCGTATTTCAAGTCGCCTACGTCAAATTAGCGAAAAAATAAAAATAGGGAAAAAAAACTTCTTACGCCTTCTTATATTTTAAGAATTAAAAAAAAATACCATAACCAACGATATAATAACGTCATACAAGTTTTTAGCCATTTACTGTCGAAATATACAAAACACACATCACTGTCCATTTAACACCTTATTGCACAAGTCAATATATTAGCAAATGTATCTATACACCTGTTAAATTCATAAATATACATAGAAAAACCTATTGAAAAATATTCGTCAAGTTAAGGCATTAATTAATTATATACAACATATATAATTTATTTATGAAGCTTATACACCATAATAAAGCTTTTTATACAAACATATAAATATATTTCTCTTATATGTCAAGATAAAGTCAATGACTTCGTAAATATATACACATATACGTAAAACCATAATATAATTTATAGCGAATATATTATATTCAAAGCTCTAACATGACATTGTAGTAGTACTAATAGGCATTTTAAATATTCAGTACAGTAATTGAATGAATGGCAACATTATTCTTCCAAAATAAATCAATTTATGTTTTCAAATCACTATTAACTTCTGACGTGCCGCTACACTGATCAGCGCTTACCGATGAAAGCATTTTACAGTGTAGCGACATTTCGCGCTATTTGCAGCTTATGAGAGGTTAAAAAACAATTTGACCTTATGTTTAACTTAAAAATATAATTAATAATATTAGGTTTTTATTTTATTACTGTACCGAATTCAAAAACATCAAATAGTAAAATAGCAGTACATATTTACAAACACTACTAAAAATTTACTCACTTCCGCAAACTTTTTTCCATTTCTCAGACACTGAAATGCAATCCGAAAACACTAACATTCTCAATCTAAAAGTTTTTAAAATTAACAACTATTGTGTTTTCAAAATAAAAAAATATTAAAAAAGCGATTCAAACAAAATAACAATTATATCATAATAGTATGTATATATATATGTGCTTATATCCCAATAATTTTTAATTAATAGCGTGTCAAACTTAGAATACAATACATAAATTTATTTATTTTTTATTCAATTTGATTTGTCAAATTGATAATAAAATCCTAATGTATAAATTTGATCTTTGACTTAAAAGTATCAAAATTAACATTACCTTCTTCTGGACTGATCCAATTTTCCTAGCGTCCATTTCGAGCTCAATCTATATCTTGCCGCAACGTGAAATTTAAGCGAATTATCAAATGTCTTAGACAGATTAATAAACCAAATAATTATGCAACATAAATACTTTTATATTTGTACATTCCATAGAGTAACATCACACAGGTGCATAGTGCAGTGAGGTTCTAAATAATTAGAAGTAAACGAACCTTCAAACTAAATTATAAACACTGTCCACTAAACATTCTTAGCTTTTTAATTTACGATAACTATCGATCGACGAAACTTGTTGTACTACACATGCAGTTCGTTTTGGTTGTAATTTAAAAAAGGAACAGCGTTTTTTTTTTTATATGGCAAGCTTCGTCGATTTATAAATACGTATGTACACATTAGTGCAAAAATATTAGGAACTTAGTGTGTTATTGAGAGGTCGAGATGAGATGTGTTATGTGTGATTAAAATGTATAAAACAATATGAACATTCTTGAGTTTTATGGCGAATTTATAATTGCAAATTAATAAATATTATAAAAGTAATAAACAAGAAATATACTGACTGACTAGCTTAAGGCTGTCAGAAATTTATGACATGCAAAATAAAAAAAAAATAGGTAAACATAAATGAATAAAGTAATTATAAAAAAGAAACTATAAAAGATAAATTCAACCATTGAAATTCAGCGACACATGCTAATAATCTTTCGCACTACTTTGTGCTTTTAACTTATTTCTCTACACCAGTTCATTCTTTCTCTATTTTAAAAAAATTAGTTTTCATGCCAGTAACATTAGACCCAATTTCTCAGATGACTTCTAAGTTTCCCAAACATGCCAGAAATTCATTTATATTCTATTTTTATATTTCTTTTAAATCATGCAAGGTATTGATATTTTGTTATTAAGTTTCTATATTTTAATTTCTGTTTCAAACCATTATTTAATATTAAATTTCAAAAAGACTGAATGGCACCAAACCAGAAACGACTCTTATTATTAAAAAATATAAAAAAATGTTTAGTGCCATGGGAAAGCAATAAAAATTACTTACTGTTGTTTGCCATTAGGTTCTCATGGAGTTTGTCACGCTGGTCTTCCAGTACCTTTAATAAAATTATAACATTTTAAAAATATCTTAATGTATATGTATATGTTTAACATTGAAATGAGTGTGAGATGAATTTAATATTGGGCTGACAAAATATATATTTAAAACTGTATTTAATAAATCACACTAAAATTACGAAATACATAATCAATATTACTGTTAATTACTCTTATTTTATTATTACAAGAGAGTTTTATAAAATTGGCTAACTACTGACTAAAACTGTCTGTGGTCAGGTTTGGTACTAAGAGGTGCAATTAAATTTTGTTTTTTCGTAAGAGGAAGGACGAATCCACCTAGGTTGGCAACCCACACAGTGATATATATTTTGTATAATGAGCAAAGGAACTATAAGATAGGCCATGGATATGACAAATAAGAAGAATATATTATAAACTCACCTCGCCGAGGTACTGAGCGACCTTCCTAGTGACACCTTCGACAAAGGTGTCAAGCTTACCAAGATCATCAGACAGCCCCACCAACTGATCCAGTGTACCCACCTTGAAAAGGAAAATAATTACAATTTATACATATTTCATCATTAAAGTATACCACTACATATGTATAGAACTACTAATTATTGAACTAGTGTTTGAATAAGGTACTTTCTGATCACTGAATACTACTAATAGATCACAGGTTTGATATTTCAAAAATAACATTGTGAATACTTTTATGTTCCATGAGAAATAATTATATATAATGGTAAACAACTGTATTATTGCCAATTGTTCTTGTTAAAATAATTATATACCTCATGACACAAATGGAAAAAAAAAATGAACACTAGTTTATTTTTTCCACAAAACGAGAGGTAGTTGTAGTAATAAAGGGAGTCAGTGAGGTTATGGTGCAACAATTTTGTGTCACAAATGTCGGAATAATGTTTAAAAGGTGTAACAAAAAGAATATCATCAGATGACAGCTTATCATGGCCTTGTCAAAGGTCAAATAAATTACCAATAGATGACACAGCAGCGTTCTATGACAAGAAAGCTTACTTAATCTAAAAATCTATGGTAATGCAAGATATTATACATATCACTGAAAAAAAAACATAAAATACTATCACAAATCATGTTTTACTTAAACATACATACACAACTATCAGAAGTATGGCTACCTTATAAATTAACTAATATATAAGTCAATAAATTAGATTAAATTTCATTGTAACCTTTTACCAATTAATCACAAGTGATGATGAGAACTTATGAAATAGGTCAATTCTGTCACCATTATTCTATACAGTCTGTTTGTAATTTAGTAATAGACTTGGGCAATATAAAGGTTACAATTTAAATTAAATAGAGTATTTTGGAGGTGAATTTATTATTATTTTGATGTTCTAGGTATAAATATTAGCTTTTCCTTTGTCTTTATTCACATAGATCTCATAATGTTCACAAAGTGTATCTTTTTTAAAACATCCTCACAAATTTTTACATTAGGTAACATCATAATGAACAAAATTGAGACTTTTTTTTTATAGATATTAACATTCAAAGTATGTATGTATAATTAGAATACATTCAATAGGTTTTCAATCTACATTCTTATACAACCCCATTTTTCTTATAAGTTTTCCGAACAAGGTCTAAAATTTTTAGTCATTTTATTAACTTGACCCTTATTTTAGTAAGACCTAATGGGTTTTTTATACTGATTGATTGAAGCTACTTCTAAATTGAATGTACATGGTATAATAGTGATTTTTTAATCTTAATCATTGGAGAAATTTATAGTTATGCATGGATGATTCTATTGTTTATATAATATGGAAGAAATAAGAATATATTCCATACCTTTAGGTCAGGGATTGGGAATTTATAGTTGACACTGAGGTTGCCTGACTTAGTGGCATTGTTCAGGTTGTCCCAAGTCTGCTGGCACGTCTTATCGCCGGGGGCGCTAATCACCCAGTATTCGGACATTATTACCACTGGAATAACATAAAGGTATTAAAAAATCAACTTGATTAAGAATTCTTAACACAAGTACCAGACATAAACATACGTTACACTAAATGTTACATATTTATTAAAGTTAAAAGCAATCTCGTTGTTGGAAAAATCGATTTTAGAATGATAACTTTTAGTGTGGCGCTCGCGGATGCGGACAACTATCTGATGTTTTCAGTAAGAGCTACGACGCAACGGGACTCCGCAGCAAATCAATAAATAGCCCGATTCATTGGCGCCCGCTCGGGGGCCAGACATCCTGGCGCCGGACACAACTTCCCCAAAAAGTTCACCCCAAATCACCCCTTGCACTCCGTCACTACCAACTTTGACATCTTTCAGTCCCGCGCAAAAGCACTTAACAGCTTTATTCTTCACGATACACGCTTCAATACAGCACAACACTCACCTGAAACTTAAAAATTAATGCTGTTTAACACTAAATATTTAAAACAGCAAATAATTTGGCGAAATCACAAGACAATTCGGGGCTAGCCCTTCAACGCCATGAAAATTCACGTGACGCGGTGCTGCCACCTACAACGACTGATATTGGACAGCTGATTTACGTCAATTGTCTATGTACGATAATTTGTTTGAAAATTGTTTAAGTCAATAAAATGTATTTGTCATATTTATAATCTAAATATTGAAGTATGTAAAAAATATGATAGTTTTAATCACAAAGGACGAAGTTTTATAAATTGATTAATTTGTGAAAAAAGATTTCTGTTTTGGGTTGACAGTACTCTATGACAGGTAATAATTTAAAAAGTATACTTGTTAGTCTCTGCTACGTACAGCTTGACTTACAGGACATGCGAAATGTACGTTCCGTTTTAATATCAAAATGTGTATTCAGTAAAATTCTTAAATGTATACACACATATCACAGTAGAATATTTCACTGAGTTTTAGTCAAGCGAAAATTTCAAAAGTAATAATGATTTAATTATTTTTTTACCACTTCCTAGAAATTTTATAATAAATCTCAAGAAGAGGTGCCGTGTTATAAATTATGGCACGGTACCTGTTCTTAAAATTGGTTATTGGTTCCCGAAACATTATCATATCATTGGAAGATATGAGCAAGCTTCTGGACAAGACAAGCATCAATCTAATGATCGATGGTGAACATTTCACCTACTTTAATTTTTCCAGTAACATACTATTTACAATGGTTTTCAAGTGTCAATAAAGCTGCGATATTTGAGTAAAAATATTTGAGAATAAATAACCCATATTTTAATGGTGTTTTAAATAAATGTATAATCGTCATTAAGACCTTATTTTTCATCACATAACTAAAAATGACAGTTTCTAGCTTTTACGAGCCACCCCAAGCTGTCACTTAACATTCAGTTTCCCAAAAATTAATAGTATTTGAACCTGTCTGTCAAATTGATAATATTACGAAACCAAAACAAAAAATGCGATTATATGGCTTTCTTGCGAAGAAAGTTGGTGACTTGACTATAAAGTATTCTAATTTCCCCGAATCCTATGTCAAAAGAAGTTATGAACAGGTCAGTATCATTCGAAACATTGTAAAATAGCTAATGAAAACATAACCTACAATAATATTTTCATATATTTCTTTTAGGTTTACTGGAAGAATCCTTCAAACTATCCACAGTATCCCAAGGCTCAGGTAGCTCGTAAAAACTATCGTTTCACAACTAACAGACCATGGACGAGTCAGTTTCGAATGCAGAATGAACGTAACCTTCACAGGAAGAAAGTGTTTTTGGAGCCTGTAGGAGAATGGCCCATTTTCAAGTATGTCACAAACGGAGAAATGCTTAGCACTATTTTTTTTTAACTTAACATGTTTTTCAACCACCTAGAGAACAAAATATAAAATATACTCGTATAACTTTAGGCGTTTGTCGCACGCGAGTTAGTAGTCTTCTACTCTTCCATTGAAAACGATTTCGTTTATCAATAGATGTAAATAAAATAAGGTCCGTCTTTCAGTCAGAAAGTCCGTTTTTCAGTAAAAAACCATAATGTGCTTCAGTGGGCGAGTCCGACTCGCATTTGCCTGTTTTTTTTTTTTAATTTAAGATAAATAAGAACTCTTTCCTATTAACACCTATATGTATATACTGTTAGGTGTATAAAAATAATAAAGAAGTAAAAAAAGTAAAAGAATATATTTAGAGCTTGTTTAAGTATTTTATTTTCACTTTCAGGGGTGACCGAGTTGAAATAATGGTGGGTAAAGATAAAGGCAAGCAGGGAATTGTGAGCCAAGTTATACAGGAACGCAACTGGGTCATTGTTGAAGGACTCAACACACATATTAGAATTGTGAGTACACAGTATACAGATGTTATATCACATAACACATCACATCAAGACTATTAGATAGCCTTTAATAGTCCACTGTTGGACATAGGCCTCTCCTTAGAGAGGAGGTTTTGGTCTACCATACCAAGCTGGCGAGACTGGTTGATATAGGGTTTGTGTCAAGTTTTCCTTCTCTTTGCAGTGCTTTTGTCCTGCATAGTGATACTTCATATTCTTGATCCATCACCACACAGATGTGATGTGTCACAGGTGTGATGTGATATATCATGTGTGACTTAGAAATCCACTAAAATCTCAATATGAACACAGTCCCATAGTAGTAAAAAAAGGCTGTGGAAACATTCCCCATTAAAAAAAAAGAAAACATTATGAGGCTTAACTGGAGATCAGACTCGAATTGTGACAAATATCAGTGCATCTGCTTGAAGCATCTACTGCTGACTGCAGATGTATATTCACATCACATTATTTAAAAAAAAATGGAAGTCTGAAAGAAAAATGAAAATGTATTATGAGAAAATTAGGATTAGTTACATTACACATATGTATTACATAAGAATATCTTTAACACCTGTAGTGTAAAACTGTATGCACGATAGCTAATTGTATAGCAAAAAGTAAAGAAAATGGACTGCATGTGCATAGGGCACTATCGCTAGTTCATATATCCGGCTCCAAGGACCAATGTATGCGCGATATCTCAATCGTATATTAAGAAGCTGAGAAAGTGGATTGTGTAAATGATTTATTAATTTATGTAACAAATATATTTAGTGTGTTTTAATGCTAGTCGTTGTTGTAAAGTTTATAACAAGCTGCGCTGAGAGAGACGTGTTCGCCATGCGATTTCCGATATCTCCATCTCGCTGTGGCTGCCGCCGTGTCAGTGTTGAGATGTCTCAACAAAAACTATATTACTTTCGAACACTTCACTGCCTTGGCATCTCGCTACACGCAAGCTGACATTAACTGGTAGCTCACTAAATACTGTTTGACAGGGACCTCGATAGAACTCAAAGAATGGAGAAAAACTATAATTTAGTTCTACACTGAATGAACTATTATTCCCTATTTCCACAAGCCAAGAGTTTTGCAAAAGTTAGTTGATGGATAGATAATGGTTAATCAATCACACCAGAACGTCTGAATGGCAAAAGCTATTATTAAATAAATCAATTGACTTTGAAAATTTCGGAACTTTGATTTTGTTAATAAGTAGTCATAACATAAAATACGCTCCATATGTCACTGCAGCCTAAGCAATAGTAAAATTACTACAGGTCCTGGCCTGCTCTGAAAGTATAACTTTTTTTTTCAGGTGGGCAAAAATGAGAAGAAGAATTTTCCTGGTATAACAATCCAATCAGAAGCACCATTACTAGTTACTACAGACGTGAAGCTCGTAGATCCTGAGACCCTGAAGCCTACTGAATTTGAATGGAGGTACACAGAGGAGGGTGATAAGGTACATTTTTTTTAAATGTTGAATTATGTAATACTTGTCAGTATGTATGTAATGGTCAGTCGACAGGACGGACATACGGCAGCACATCTTCGGTGTCTTCGAGCTTCTGAACTGCAGTCTGAAACCTATTTCCCATCTAAGACTTAGAATAGCTCTGTTCTCCTTTTTTCAATTTACCTTTATCCTGAAGTTTTGCCGTGGAAGACCCATGCTTCAGGATATATGTCGGTCGGCTTCACTGAAGTACTACGGCTGCACAAAAAAGAGTGCACTCTTTCCTACGAGGCCAGTTAGTGATTCCCTTGGTTGCAGACATTCGTGGGCGGCGATAGTCACTTTCCATCAGGTGACCCATCGTTTGGCCCCTCAAACAAAAAAAAAGAAAGTATTTTATTTTTGCTTGTTACCGAGTACCGTAGCCCGAATTCCTCCTCCCCTAAGGGAAACCCCCCTCGATGGGGACACCAGGTGATCTGTTCATTTGAACACCATAAAAAAAGTTACCAATTTTTTAAAAAGGCAGATTTCCCAATTCGCAGACACGATATTTAGAAATACGTCATTGTTTCCAGGTGCGCGTGTCAATGGCGAGCAGCAGAATCATACCGATACCGAAGACAGCTGAGGAAACTATGGAGTACAAGAGCAAAGAAGTTTACATAGAGAACCTTGAGAAGGATACTGTCGCTGATGCTGTTACAAAGGTTCAGATTTTCTATTCTAATAGACTACCAGCTGCGTCCGTCGAGATGCAGGGCATTGAAGCCCTTCAATGGTCTGCATCTCGAGGCTTGCATCTTAGGCATGCGGAGGAGAAAGGACGTCTTATGTCTCTCTAACATAATCGTCCGACCGTCCAACCAGGCGAAGTGATCATGGTTGGCGGTTGATGTTGGGAATTTGTATATAGACTAATCTCAGCGAGAACTGTTAGAGCGCGATGCAGGATTAGTAGGTACTCTGTAGTTTGGTGTATCTTCGATAGATGGTACTGAAGTATATTTTTGTGTTATTGAATGTAGAAGTCTCCACAAGCGCTTTGCACAGATATTTCTATAAAGCTTGCAGGTGACATTTGCATCATTTCCAACAACATTTAAAGTTAAGAGTAGTATAAAAGAAGTAAAGCCGTTATCCAAAACTAGACAGAAAATACTATGGTAGCCAGACTGCTGATAAACATTATCTCCCACTCTCTCTAGAACTGCCTAGTTACATATTTAGGTAAATGACTTCCACACACAAAACAAATGATCATCATCATCGTCAACAGGCCTATGTCCAGCAGTGGACTGACATATCAGTCCACTGCTGGACATAGGCCTCTCCTTAGAAAGGAGGTTTTGGCCTACTATACCACGCTGGCCAGACGGGTTGACTGGCCAGATGGGTTTGCTTCAACTGTTTCCTTCTCTTTGCAGTGCTGTTGTCCTGCGTAGTTTGCTCCCTTAGTCGGCTCTTACCACACCCACGGGATGAATAGGGGTGGTGACATTCTATATTCTTAATCCGACTAAATTGCGATTCCCTGCCGGAGAAATGATCATGCTCGTAACAAAATTATTTGTCGTGTGTGGGAATCGAACCCACGACCTGTTAGCAGTGAGAGTCACTAACCACTAGACCAACAGGCCCGTCGATATTATTTTTATAGAATCTATAATTTTTTGGTATTCATTAAAAAATAAATATTATAACAATTATCAACTTGCCCTCTTGCAGGTAACGTTCGCGCCAAAGCTCCGAACATTCGAGATGGATATAATGGAGGAGATGGGTATCAAAGAGGACCGAGTTCCCGCCCAATCTTACTGGTATTAGCATAATGTACATGATTTGTTATGTATAATATTTAAATATAGTGTTGTTATGATCACCTGTTTATTATTATTGTAACCAACTTCAAAATGTAATAGATTCTCAGTTTGATTGAATATTTTTGTTACTTCAGAACTCCGTTATTTGTAAACAGATTAAAATAATCTTTTTTGTTTAGGGGAAGGTATACTACTGCCTTTTTAGTCCGATTCAAATATGAAGAAAGAAATACTGCTCTTAACCCCTTAACTCTTGAGGGTAGAAAACTGTTTACCATAATTAAATTATTAACCACTGCGAGCGAGCGCCATAATTAGAGAAAATTTATAAAAAGCCTTTCTGTGTATTCTGAAAAGACACAAATTACGACAAAAACTTAAATTAGGATAAAGGAATATCATACCACAAGTGAGCGTATGTTTTGTCCTAAACTGCATTAATACCGAACAAATATTTTGTACGTGCAGTATTAATGTAACGTATCTTCCTTAAAATATCATTTGTTTTTAAGAGAAAAACCTAGAAGGGCTCGTCAGACTGTTCTTAACCGACTTCAAAAAAGGAGGAGGTTCTCAATTCGACTGTATTTTTTTTTTTTTATGTTTGTTACCTCACAACTTTCGACTTGGTGAACCGATTTTGATGATTCTTTTTTATTGGAAAGCTGGTGCTTCCATGAGAAAACCATTGAAGTCGGTTTTTTTGTTAAAATTTTTTGGAACTAACTTTTGAACTTTACATGATAATATCATGTAAGTTAGAAGTTAATTTCAATTGGTTTTTGGCTATTTTCTTACGATACCTTACTCACTGTTATGGTAAGTCATATATTTTTTTAAAGACTGCCAAGGAAGCAGTTGTTTTTCGTGCGTATCTTGTATGTTTGTTTGAAAATTTCTTTATTATCCCGTATCTTGCAAATGGCTGAATGGATTTCAGTTGAGTTTATCAAGTAATTTTTTTAAGAGAATGTGTTTGAAAAAATAACTTTAATGTGCCTAAAATATGATAAATCGTAAATAGCTAAATTCTTCTTTCCTTATTAAAATATTTTACATCTAAGTGTGTAACTCTTAAGAATTGAGAATCGAGTGTCCGAATTTGTACGGTCAACACATAAATAAACATCTGTCTGTGCCTGTAATAAGTTATTTAATATTGTGCAAAAATGTGAAAAAACGCAAAAAGCCAACATCACGTGGTATTCCCAGGCGGTCACCCATCCAAGTACTAACCACGCCCGATGTTGCTTAACTTCGGTGATCGGACGAGAACCGGTGTATTCAACATGGTATGGACGTTGGCGATAGTAGTTGATAAATAATGGACTACATAGTTGATATTTACTGACTGCATGGATGGCGTAGTGGTTTAAGCGCTCGGTCGCCTCGCTGCTTCCTACTGCGTCGAGTGTTGTGGGTTCAACAACACTCGACGTGTGTGTGCCTTTGTGTGATCCACAAATTGTTGTTTTGAGTCTGGGTATACTTTGTGTCCGTTTCATGTATGTTTGTAAAGTCCCCCGCGGCACAGGATATATTCCTAATGCAGGAGTTGTCTTTTCAAAGCAAAGAGAAGAGAGGAGAGATTTACACTTTATTGCAAAATGAGAAAACCGAATCGGTTTGAACTTCGAAACTCTTAGAATCAAGTGCCTTAATGTGTACTGTCAATAGTGTGCGTTACCCCAGCAAAACAACGTCGCAAATGGTCATTTAAACTTTATAGATAATTAGTTGCTCCCCTTCTGTAATTGTTAACCACATTTTTAAATTTGTTTCACTTAAACTTTTTTAGTTATTTCAAAAAAACATTTCCTGCTGGGGTAACGTTTGAAACGTTACCGCAGCCAGACATTTTCTTTTTTAATTGTAATATTGAAATAAATTTTAGCTAAATAATTAGTTATCTGGACTAGGTAAATGTTACAACTTATTTGGTATTTGTATTTTCTTCGGGTGCGAAGTTATTCGAAATCCTGCTGGAGTAACGTTTGTGGGTTTGCTGGATCTCTGAAACGGGTAAGCGGATTGTAACCATCTTTTGTACATAACTTCTTAAGGATTAGTTTTAATTTGTTCGACAATAAAATAACAATAATAATGGACCGTTTAAAAATTATTTAGGTAAGTATGAAAACACTTCAATATGTCCTAACACTTTAAATAAGACCTCTAAAGACTTACTTGAAACGTTATTCTATTGCTTGTAACTACCTTCAAATGTATACGAATTTTCGTAAGAATACTGTAAGTGACTAAAAAGTTATGATGAAATGTAGCTCTCCACGTTCACGATCACAATGTGTGCGGCCTTTTTTGGCCACCGATAAACCTGTGTGTGGATATATAAGCTGAATGTTATGCCAATAATTAGTTGTTTAGTTCAGTTGTCTACCTGTAAAATTTCAGCGTAGTACATATAATAATTTACGAGATAATTAAATAAAAGTCATTAGAAGGTGCAAGACCGTGGTAACCCGACCATGTTTAGGTGGTTACAAAAAAGCGATCACCCAGTACATTGTGCTGGCTTTTAAAATATGTAGGATATTATTTGCAAGTTTACTACGGATATGTACATAAGTGTTACAAAAAACTACATGTTTTTTAAATATTTTTTATTTAGGATTGTTTATTGCATAATTAGTAATCAGCCGGGAGATTAGGTATTGTTTTGAATGCTTTTGTTTTCTCGTAATGTTTAGGTGAATTGTTTATAGTTGTACATAGAATTGGTACCTGCGTAGTATTTGTTAATTGAAGTTTAATTTTAGGGTAGGTATAGGTAATTTAAGAAATATGAAATGAAATGATAAGTTTTGAAGAGTGTAACGTATGCGTTGTAAATAGGTATTTTGTGAATAGATGGGGATTTTTTTAAGTGATGTATCGACTTAAGCTAGCATATCGCGAACAAACTCTGTATTGCATTATTTCTGTAATAATGTTGGAGAAAATAAAATATTTGATCACAAAATCGTGGTGAGTTAAATTATAATTAAATAAATTATTTATGTTGAATTAGTAATAAGTGATATACCTACCTACAAGTTATGATCGTTTTTAATTTGTTCACCCTGAACGAAATTTCAATATAAGCATTAGTAATTAATATCCTAAGACAAGAATTGAAAATTACTTAAATTGAATCGAATTAGCATTAATGCCCATTATTAGTAATTAGGTACACACATATTGAAGAACTCTCAAGAATACGATAAATATTTGCAAAAATAGAAAGCGGAAGCGCACACGCACTTTACAAGACGTATATTATCTGCCTAAGGGTCAAGTTTAGTGCACTAGATGCACATTGCAAACAATGAAGTATCCCTTCGCCCCTCCCCTCCCGCGTTCTAGCGAAGGGTGTATTATCAGCGATTCTTGATTGACAAATATTATCTGACCAATAATTTTATCTATAAAAATGTATCACTTTCACTCGATAAATTAAATTACCGTTATTATATCAAAATATCATTCAACAACTGTTCGTTTTTAACAGAAATCAACAGTCACGGGCTCAACGCTTAACGGTAGGTACATAGGTATAGATAATTCTCGGTTCTCGGTATAGACCACAGAACAATATTTCCTACTCTTACGAGGTATACGACTGTTGGGCGATGCAATGTTGATGCATTCTAATTTACAACTGTATTCTTCTACTATTCGGTCTATTTTAACTTATTGTAGATGACTTGTTCCTTTAAATATTTTGATGCATTCAAGTCTAAGCTCTATATACCCCAAAATAAAATACAATTACTTTAGTGTTATTTCTTTACTAAAAAAAATCAAAGAAATGAAACGATTTCTTATTGGTTTAAATTTTCGATTTATTGCAGTCAGGTGAATCGTTCATACATGTATCTACATATTTATAATTTTAGCGGACCAGTGCAGATTTTCTGTTGATTGTAGCTCCGGTAGTAAAAAAGACTAAAGAAATTTTAAGTAAAGAAACTAGTGCTTAAGATCAATTAGGGAAAAAAACAAAATAAATAATAGGTAATAATAATGAATAAATATTGAATGTATTTAACACTGTACGCAACTGTACCGAAATCGTAAGGTGTATTACACTAAACATTTTAAAAGACAGCGCAATGTACTGGGTGATCGCTTTTTTGTAACCACCTAAACATGGTCGGGTTACCACGGTCTTGCACCTTCTAATGACTTTTATTTAATTATCTCGTAAATTATTATATGTACTACGCTGAAATTTTACAGGTAGACAACTGAACTAAACAACTAATTATTGGCATAACATTCAGCTTATATATCCACACACAGGTTTATCGGTGGCCAAAAAAGGCCGCACACATTGTGATCGTGAACGTGGAGAGCTACATTTCATCATAACTTTTTAGTCACTTACAGTATTCTTACGAAAATTCGTATACATTTGAAGGTAGTTACAAGCAATAGAATAACGTTTCAAGTAAGTCTTTAGAGGTCTTATTTAAAGTGTTAGGACGTATTGAAGTGTTTTCATACTTACCTAAATAATTTTTAAACGGTCGATTATTATTGTTATTTTATTGTCGAACAAATTAAAACTAATCCTTAAGAAGTTATGTACAAAAGATGGTTACAATCCGCTTACCCGTTTCAGAGATCCAGCAAACCCACAAACGTTACTCCAGCAGGATTTCGAATAACTTCGCAGCCGAAGAAAATACAAATACCAAATAAGTTGTAACATTTACCTAGTCCAGATAACTAATTATTTAGCTAAAATTTATTTCAATATTACAATTAAAAAAGAAAATGTCTGGCTGCGGTAACGTTTCAAACGTTACCCCAGCAGGAAATGTTTTTTTGAAATAACTAAAAAAGTTTAAGTGAAACAAATTTAAAAATGTGCTTAACAATTACAGAAGGGGAGCAACTAATTATCTATAAAGTTTAAATGACCATTTTCGACATTATTTTGCTGGGGTAACGCACACCTGTCAATACGCAAAAGGGGATATAAAGAATCTCCTGTGACTC